GTTGTTGTTGTTGTTGTTGTTGTTGTTGTTGTTGTTGTTGTTGTTGTTGTTGTTGTTGTTGTTGTTGTTGTTGTTGTTGTTGTTGTTGTTGTTGTTGCTGCTGCTGTCCTGCCACAGGATAAAGTGAAATGCCGGGATGCGAGCCCGGCGTCACAAATAGCTCCGAGGAGTGAGCGTCTGATCTCGGACTGCTAGACTTTGAAGTCGGCAAGGGTGATGGTTGGTTCTTCTCCGCTCGCAGGAGGAGATTCTGAATGACATCGGCACCCTGGCCAGCAACTTTATTTGTGTTGCGGATCGTGTTCAGTCTGAAAAGCGACTCCCGTATGCATCTGAATGCTTCTGGGACCAACTGTGCATTTTCGTGCGGGAAGGCAATCAAGACAGCCAACACCGAGACGCATGGCTCCACGCTCAAATAGGCGAGTGTGAACATTTTGTAGTGATGGAGAGATAGAGAGTCAAAAAATCGCTGCTGGGCATCCAACATGTGGATGGCGGCTTTCAAGATCTCGGTGCGGCTCTTGGAGATTGAAAAGATATACGGCCGGTGAAGCAGGAGGATGAAGAGCCAAATGGTCGCACAGAAGAATTCCCGTTGTGATGCCAGCATCGGGAACTCTCCATCAAAGGACCTGTCTGGGTTTTCGAATCGGTAAATGGCGGGGATGCTGGCGATATACTCCAGGGCTCCTTGGTGAAGACGTTCCACCTTGCCATAATCTCGCGGGTACGGCCCTTCCAGCTCCAATTCGCGGATCTGTGGGAGGTGTTTATGTATATGGTACTCGAGCAATCGCACTGTGAACGTATTCGGTTTCTCGTAATCACTTCTTTGAAACGGGGCTGAGGAATTGCGGTTTCTTGGGATGTCGCAGTCGGTGGGTGGAACAATGGTATAGTCATTGGTCTTGAAATTGAGTGGCTTGCCCAAAACCATGCCCATTTGACTGCAGTTTGCCGTTAGTCACACAGTTACCGGGCATCAGCGCGTGTTGCCAGTCAACTCACCTGTCCCAGAGGTAAAGGTTCACCATCAGACGACGCCGTAGCACCATGTTCCACAGCTCCTCACATGCACTCTCTGCATCACTGGCGTATAGTTTGCCGTCGTCGCGATGGAGACCTATCTCTTGCGCATTCATGGTCGCTTGCGCGACGACATGCCATGATTCGACAATCATCCCCCGATTCTTGAGCCATGCCGTGCGCAGAAGCTGTGCTGCTATATAATCCAAGTTGATGACATCTTTTGGAAGCAGGCCCAAAAGCCGCATTGCAGGATCGTCCGACGGTCCATCTCCTTCCACAGCAATCCCTTTGATACAGAAAGTGTGGAGGTTCTCAGAGTGGCCAGCCGGTAGGAACTGTAAGGCGCACACGAGGACCTGAAAGAGGAGAGCTGAAAACACCAGCCTTTCCGAGGGAAATGTGCCTTCTGCCTGATAAAGGGGCGAGGTGTGATGATGGTAGTAATCCTCCAGTTTGGTCGTGAAATGGTTTCTATCTAGGATGGTATACTGCCAGTTGACCTCGTCGAAGAAGACATTGACCAGGTCTCTCACACAAGCTGAACATGGCAGGAGTTTCAGCACAGACTTGTAGATCTCGTAGGCCGCCTGGCACAGCGTCACATTTTTCTGCTTCTGCGACGGTCGAGGACTGCTGCCCAGCTCCAGGTCCTCTAGTTTCTTGACAATGCCTAGCGAGTTATGCACGTTGACGTTGGAATAGCCGAAACATGCAAGATCAGGGCTCCATGTCTCTTCCTTCGTAGAGTGATATTCTTGCACAACGAAACCAGGCGCCTTGGAAAATGCTTCGACATACGGTTCCTCGGTGGCTTTTTGAGAGCGACTGGTCATGAATCAACAACCGAGGAAACCCCAGAAGGAAAACGACTCACCCCGGAATCGCATCTCCATAGAAACAACTATCTTGCTTTCCTCGGAGCACGCAGGTCATGCAAGGCGTTTCCCTATTGCACTATTCGTTCTGGTTAGTCCCCACGAGCGACTGATATGTACTACGAGGGGTCCTTCAAACCAACCTTCTGTTTGCTGTGGCGACAGTTGGTGCAACTAAAGGTGATGCGCATCCGTTTCTTTCGTATTTGGTCGCCCGAAAGGCCTGCGGCATGGCGTCGGGTCTCCATGGGCAATGACAGGTTCGCCGTCGACAGTACATGCAATGGTGTCTCTGTGGAAAGAGGGTTCTTGAAATCCGAGTCCTGCGGAGTATCGACTTTACATAAAGCCGTGGTGCCGTAAGCGATCGATGACTTAATATCCTGCACGGGCGCCGATGATATGGAGCATTGCGGGCGAGACTGGGCCATGTCACCATTACTCAGCACCTGCAGAACGCAGGGGAGAGAGATTCAGGGTGCCAGGCACCCAGGAGAGATTCTGTACCGTCGGATAGCTGAGTATTTCGCCTTTGCCAGTCGGATTGCACGTTGCCCGAATCACACCTGGATTTGCCGCCTGCTTCACCGGATTTGGGGCGGGATGGCGTGAAGAACAGGGAAGAATGATTCCCCTAGATTGGCCAGCTCCACCTAGTCGACGAATCCACGAATCCACGGCCCGAAGAAAATAATCCTCGCCTGCTACAGTGGCAGTTCGGTTGGACTGGCTCCGCTCATCCGCACTGACGCTTCCGCATATACAAAGTCGACAGAGCCACTAAGGGCCCTGGGGCCTACGCTACTCGACTTGCAGCAGCCACCAGCGACCGTCGTCCTAGGGAAGAGAATAACAATGGATGAGACGGGGAAATTCTCTCACCAGCGGAGGCAAATGCTAACCCAAGAGATCGGCGTCGTGAGCATGGAGCAGGAGTCGCTAAGCATCTCATGTTACGAGGAATTGACACAATGAATGTGTTCAGCCTCGCCACGGAGTTCGACCAAGTCAATCCCGCCGGCTAGAGTGAGCGTACCTATCCAACAACGAATCGGCTCGAGACAGGTGATCCTTCTGAGACGTCTGGCCGACAGAAGATCCTGTGCGATCCTCGCCATCGTGATTCCAGTCGTCCAAAATGGTCAGCGACACTGATGTTTGGAGTGCAGGATCTACAGCCTATCTCCCGTCAGGATATCTCCGCGGTTGAATGGGTGCCTCTGCTGAATGTGGCGGTCGACGGCGCAAAGACACAGGAGAGAAATCAGGCGTTGACGACAATCCTGCCCCGAGGCAGGAGGATCAACACAAGGATAGATCCTAGCCTGTCGCCATCACGCCAGCTCTCTTGCACTAGCCCATCCCTTGATGACCATGGAGCACGCTTTATCAGCGTTCACCTAAGCCTGCACGGGTTGGCCATGTCGACATCACCTGCGTGTTCCGTGGTTCCAGCGAGATACCATACAACGTCAAGGCATATGCAACATGTGAAGCGATCGGTATGACTAAGATGTGAGTATTTATGGTCGCATCTTGAGCTGGCGCTGTATTCTTGCCCATCGTGGGCGCTTCAGCTTTAGCAGCTCCGCTTGAGTGGGTATGTATGGGCTGATCTCTGCTGCATCCATCGCAAATTTGTCAAAGTCTGCTCCGGCGCAAATGGAATGTCGCCAGCACATGTTGCCAAAGCGCAGAATCGCTTCTGATAGTCGTTCCAGGCTGACTGTACAGGCTCGGTAGTTGAGGTGGGGGACGGGTTCGAGACATCGTGGTGCCTGTCAGATGTGTATCTGGAGTCCAATGGTCCAGTCGACAGGTAGGCAGTCTGACGTGTTAAGGGGAGAACAAGCATGCCCATCCAATCGCGAAAAGGATGTAAAGGCTCCGCAGAGTTCCCGGAGTGGTGGCTGGAGGAGGAGGAGTCTTTCATTATCGCTTGCGCCAACGGTGTCTCCGCTGGAATGCTTTCAGTTTCGCAAAGGTTATGCCTATTACTTGACAGGTTAGGTAAACATGGCTTCCAATAAGGTGAGCGGGACAGGGTTCGAACTCAGGATCCAAGGATTCTTGAACGCGGGACAAGCCTGCCGAATGGAAGAAAGCATCATTGTCACCGTCTTGTGCGAGAATACCACAGATTTTCACCCGGCACAAAGCATCTCCCCCAGTGCAAAGTCTTCGGAGCAATTGATCAGTCGAGGTGGCAAGCAGTCTCAATAAATGTTCAAATGTTGCTCGTGTTATGGGGTGAAGGCCCGCCACCTACCTCTCGTGAAGCCCGACGACTCTGTTGTTGCTGTTGACGCTAGGACCTAGGCTAGGAGTTAAGCAATACCACCATCGGCCCCCAGGAGAGCAGAGGGTAGGACGACTGCGGATCAGCAGTTTCGATCAATGGCAATGGCCACAACTCTCTGTTAAACGAGACCCACCAATGCTTGAGGCGACCCTGATGGCTCCTAGGGTCGGAGGCACAGACAAGATGCACTCGCTGTGATGCGGAAAGGAGGAGTCACGGAGCGGGTAGTGCTGGAAAGGTACACAGGGTTACAAGGTTATGGGTCTGTGTCCACCCTGCTTGTGTCAAAGTCGAGAGAGACGATAACAGCTGGTGTGCTTGGTAGACTCTTGCGCAGGGGGTTGCTTCGAGAAGTGATGGCAGCTCATCCCTGTATTTGCACCCGGCCTGAAGCATTTGAGGAGCCTTTCTTACCTGCCCAGTCGTTTTTTTCCCACGGTAAAGGGAACTTTATGGTATCAGGCGCCTGGGAATTGATCCAAAATCCTTGAAACCATAGAGGTCAACGGAAGAATCGTGCATTCGTGTATCCGGCAGTTGGCTTCCTGACAGGTGGTTGGCGGCGCAAGCGACTAAGGAGGGCGGTGGCTACCCTTTCCCGAGGCCATTGATTTGGATGAGAGTGGTCAAAACTGTCTCCTTCAGATGACTCCAAGGCAGGGGGGGTTCCATCTTCTGTCGTCATTTATTTGTTCAGCGAAAAGCTCCCTTCATGACCCTCTTGTCTTCTGAGTGCGTTCCCTCGACAAGGCCATCATGCTTTAGCCCTAGCCTGTCTCTCATTGTGCGTTGTCTCCGAGCAGTCCTGTTAAGCCGACCTGAGGTTTCGTTCGCGTCCACTTCAATGACCAACACACCCTGGCCTACATCAAACTTTTTGAGGCTTATGCAATATCCGCAGGAATAGGTGTGCTGTCAAAAGCAGCGTCGAACATCTGCATTCGCCAGAAAAGCGTCCACTCAGCTCCAGCACGGCGAAAAACAGAGCCCCATCTCGGATCAAGACTGGCAGTCTGTGCCTAGCGCGAGCGTGCGAGGAGCGACGAACGACGTTGGGGTCTTTGGCGCAGTCGACGTGTCCCGGTTAAGTTTTGTACGCATCGACGTACGTATCCCATGGCATAATGTCCCGCGGTTCGCGGTCTCGACGACGGACAGGGCCTTGAGGTTAAAGCCGCCTTTGGAGCAAGAACAAATCGGATCATTACGTGGTGAGCTTGTGAATGAAGCTCGTGGATCTATGCCATGATTGTCGCCAGTTTTAGATTCGTCGTGCTTACCTAAACCGCAGTCGGATTTGCAGGGCTGCTGGACTCGGTGCACGCGTAACAGGATCCTTTGAAGCACCCAAGTCATTCCGACAAGCCGTATTCCGACAAGGCTGCGCTGATAGCATCCTTATACGATGGCGAGTGAGGAAAGTCCATCCCAAGAGCGAATCACCTCACGGTTGAACGATTCGCGAATTGGCCTTTTCCGCCGGAATCCAGGCCACTCGCCACTCCGGCAGCCACCATGTCACCATCGACAGATACAGTATCACCACCATTACGACCGCCGCATCTTGTCTCCCGCTAGGCTGTAGAGGACGCGGTCCAATGTGCGTGTTGTAGCCAGCACCGAACCTGGGTAGCAGAAGGCAGGCGGTGGAGAGGCGAAAGAAAGACAAAGAGACCAAAATCACTCATTCGCTTAATCAGGAAATCTGGACTGCGCCAATGGCAAAGAACAACCTCACCAGAGACCCCTCAACCCATGAAATCTGTATCTACATAGACATTTTGTGATCGAGATTTTTGCCACCTCCACATTCCAGTCTTCATCCATCAGAATCTAGACTAGACGACACGAAAATCCGAGCCCGTTTAGCCCTCTTTACGCGCCCCGTCAAACACCTTGGCCTTGAATACTACGTGCCAAATACGACCTACATACTTGACCATCCATGACTTCGTACATCGCAAATTACCTGTATCTGGACGGCACAATTGTGCAAGAGGAGGTCATTGGAGTGGGCGGTGCGGGCATTGTCGTCAATCGAGAAGGATACGCCCTCAACATCCCTCGGATATCCAAGGTGTTTGAAATCGACGGAGTGCCAGTTGACGATAGAATATTGAACGCTGATGCAGGCGACTCCTACGACGAGCTCGCCGTCGCCATCAAGTCTTTTCGGCATGATAAGGCTATATACAAGAGGCTGGGCGACCATCCTGGGATCATACCCTGTTATAACGTCGACTCGGAAGATCCAAATGCCCTTGATGGTTGGCGACCTTCGCAAGTATTTGGTCGATGTCCGGCCGACAAGGGCGCGCCAGCTCTCCTGGTTACTTCAATTAGCGTGTGTTATGGCCTATGCACATTCTAAACGTATTCTCATATGTGACTTCCGGCTGGATAATATCGTCTATGACGATATGATGAATCTCAGGCTTATTGACTTCTCCGAATCCTCTTTGATGGACTCTGACTGGGACTTGGACGGCTGCGATAGATACGGCTATTCTATTCTGACCGACATTGGACAATTTGGGGCAGTGATGTTTGAGATCATAACTGGCCAACATTGTCGTTTTGATATTTATCAGGATTGGACCGGGCCAGGAGATGCGACAACCTGGCCTCAAGGGGAAACACTTCCGTCGACAAGCGAGGTGTGGCTAGGATCTATTATCGAAAAATGCTGGACTAAAGGATTTGTGTCTGCTCAGGATCTTGAGAGAGAACTTAAAGAGGTGAACGTCTGCTGAATCGCGGTAAATATGACCTTTCGCCACGATTCAAGTCCTCGTCGTTACCATGTTTCCACATCACTGCACCGGGATCGGTAATGAGCGATGTTTAACTGCTGGGTTGGACATCCTTGAAGAGTTCTCGCAACGTCAGGTTTCGGCTTTGACCCTGACAAAATACGCAGTCCTATTTGAACGAAACCGATCTTTCGGTGAGAGGCTCTCTTGGGCTCGGTTCATCCATCATCGTGTCTTCTGGAAGACATATCCAATTTCCGAATGATACAAAAAGACAGTGCATATCATAAAGCAGGGAACATGTGGCAGCGTAAATTCAAACTTACAGAGTATGGGTGACAATAATCTGCCAGAAAATCCAGATGAAGTGCGGCCATGGAAATTGCCAAACTCGAAGTTAGCAGGAGATCATGCTGTTGTCATCGTACCTTCGGCAGCAATGTCCTCGGTGCTGGTCTGGTAGGCATTCCATTGGCTTGGACCTGTGTACCTCGTCCTTGCCATTCTTAGTTGAGGTCTTGGGTGATACAAGGAATTGGCACGAGGCTGATGGAATTGAAGGTCCGATCAAGACAGTGGACTTTATGATCGTCCTCGGTGCGTCTGTATCAAGATCTTGTGCAAAAAGCACTCAGAATAGGTTTCAGCCAGGTGGCATATCAGATTTCCGTCATCAGCACAACATTGATTGGGAAATAGTATGCGCTTCGTTTGTAGACACGACAGTCTGCTGCACAAGAGATTGTCCATGTACCGATCAGATCTTGGACCTCCAAGACTGTGGAAAGCAGCCTATCTAATCGATGTAGACTGATTAACGTTATACCGACGATTCCTCTTCAAGCTTTTGCTTCTTAGAGTCTTAACACCGTGGAAACAGAAATAACATTGGAAAATACCATGTACCGCTACAAGAATGGAGTGAACGAACCACACTGCAGGTTGATGCAATGAGGGGATTCCAGAATCGACCGAAACTTGCATGACACAGACGATACCAGTCTTTCTCCCGCTCTCTTGTGAATAAGGGATTCTGCCTCCCTGGCTGCATATCGGCCTGTGTGTGACACACCTCGATGAGGCTGAGATGCTGGTATGGCAGTACAGCCAAGTCCAGTCAGGATTACTCGGAGCTACGGGGCTTCGCTGAACACCATAGTATCGATATGAAACTAGGCCATCTGCCTGAAGCGACAATATCCCGACTTGGGATATATGGGACGTTGGTCAAGGTCTGGAACGTCCAAACGAGTGTTCGAAACTCTGTTTCAGAGCGACCAGCTGGCAGTTGAGCTCATTGACGACATGCACAATTATACTTAAGATCCACCTCTCACTTTGCGGGTTCTTTGTGTGGAGTACTCGGTACAGCCGGGACACTCCCAAGCACCACCTTCTGGAGTTTTAGATGTAATAAGAGTTCTCGTAGAGGTAATAGACTCGCAAAAAAGTGTCTGGCCCTATCATGTGTAGAAACAGCCCTTCTTCTTATGTCCGTCGATGTACCCAACCTTGGGCTCCAGGTAGCTTCTGCAGGCCGTCAGAAACAATCGGATCCCGGTCTCATCAGCGGAGTGTGGCAGTTCTGGCACACTACTATTTTCGGAATAGTTTGGGTTGGTTGTTTCTTGGATTGTCCGTCATCTCCACCCTTTTGACAGTTGAAGTTTTGAGGTCAAGACACGTCCACTAGACATGCTTCAGTTAACCAGAAGATTTCCCCAGGTCCGAGGAACGTGAACAACAAACCCATTCCGACCAACCATGCTTCAAGGAAACCACTTTGTACGTGAATAGTGAAAGACAATAAATACCATTGGTCAACAGGTACGAGGTGCTGTACGAGTACTCCGCACTCCGTACTTGTCGAGCAATCTTGATCCAACGGAAGGAAAAGTACCTCCTAAGGGGTAGAAATCTATTTAAAGTGGACTGCTTCTGTACGTGATAGCGCAGGGAATGGACTTAGAGTGGCTAAGTGAGCTAAACTCTTCCCAGAACAAATCAATTTTCCACAGGCAACACTGGTCAGTCTTGGCACCGGTGTTAGCGCCGATGCTAATTTCCATCACTGTCACTTTTCCCATAGCCGCACCACCACCACCTGCTGCACCGTCTGCACCAAGCAAGGCTTTTTCCATCACATGTTGTTGTCATTCCTCTACCCTTGCTGCCAGGCTATTGATGTCTTTTTTGACGTAACATGGACTCCCTACTCGTACACGAGGTCGAGTGGATAGGGGGAGCCCTTGTCCGAAACAATTGTTGACCACCCAGCTGTCCTCCGAGAAACCAGAATCCACCGACCGCATGACCGACACCACCACACCCTTCTTTGAATTCTCACCGTCAAATGTCTGACTTGTTCCCACCAGCGGGAAAAAAAGAGAAAGAGGCACAGTCACAAGTGAACAAGCAGATGCAAAGGCATGTCTCAGTCTGGTGGCGGCCAATGCCACATAAGGGGCTAGCCACTGAAAGGGAGATCCGTCGCTCCGTCTAACGAGATGATCGGGGGTCAATGCTTGTCTTTTCCCCACAACCTCCGGACTCCTGAAATGTATCCGACTGGACCAATCCTCCGGCCCGTGTCGCTTTGGAGCCGCCACGCCACGGGGGTTCAGGCCTCGATCCAGTCAAGTCGAACCAGTTTGAACCAAACCCCAGTCCAAAACTTATCCTATCCACTCTGACAAGCCCATTGTTTTCCCAATTGCTGTCAAGGGTCGTTGAGGGTTACCGCGTGCATGTCAGGCATTGGTGCTGGGTAGGCTAGCTAGCTAGCGGCCGAGCTACTAGTATTTTCCAGTCGTATTTATCTTTTACTCCTTTCCCCCAGGAACACCAGTCCCCTTTTTTTTCGTCCCCGTTGCTTTGTTTCTCGTGGTGTCTATATACAGCGGTAATAGGCTTGTCATTGTGTGTTGTTGTCTCCGTTACATACATTCGTTATTTGCTTCTCCCTCCTGCTCAGTTCCAAGTCTTTCGTTGAATAGCATTTTTGGCACCATATCTCAACCTTCGCTTCCTCGACACCTATCAATCATGCAGTTGACAACTCTTCTGTTGGCATCCATTGCCTCCCTGGCAGCTGCTCAGACAGCCACCAGCTCGGCCACCACCTCGACCTCGACCTCAACCTGTGCCGCCCAAAAGTGAGACCATTGGACGCCCCATTGCCCTTCAAGCAACCAAGAACTTTGCTAACAGAATGTGAACAGCATTCTTGATGCCTGCCTTGCCACCATCCAGGGACAAGTGAACTCGTGCCAGAGCACCGACTACGGCTGCCTGTGCACTCAGTACGGCAACCTGCTGACCTGCTACAACAACTGCCCCAACGACTCGGGCGTCACAACGGTCCAACAGCAGCGTGACCAATACTGTGTGGCCGCGTCCGCCTACCCGTCCACCAGCAGCACACCCGTGTCCGCGGCCCCCAGCACCACTGCACCCGCCACTACTGCCTCCGGCAGTGCCTCATCAACCGACTTCTCGTTTGGCGACGGCACTTCCACAACCGCCAGCGCCAGCGCCAGTGCCACCGACGGCTCCTCGTCTGACAACGCCGCACCAACCCTGGAGCTGGGCCGTGGCATCGTGGCCCTTGCTCTCGCTGGATTGGGTCTTGTCCTGTAAATTTGACAAAAGGAACTTGAAAGAGCCCGGGGGACAACTGGTCGATAATTCCTTCCTTGCTGTGTTATGTTTCTCTGCAAGCATTGCGTTCTGGGACAAATGGTGGTGGGAAAAATCAAAAAGAAACGGGACAAACGTTTGCTGCTCTTCCGACCCGCGGCGTAGATGATCTCTTTTCTTGGGGGGGAGTCAACACCAGCCGTTGTGGAAGGAAAATCAAATAGTTAATCAATTTATAATCTCTCCCCAGCTTTGGGCCCCCAGTCGCGGTCTCCTTTTGAGGGGACATTGATATCAGTCATCTTTGGCGTTGTGATCGTCGTTTCGGTGCCCGGGTTTCCTCTTTGTTATCTTCGTCCTTTGGAAGAGCTGTCCGTTTCCTGCCTTTCTGAGCCGGTGTTGGCTGTTGTGGCTGCGGCTGTGGCTGTGGTTGTTGAGGGCTATTGTCCTTCGCATTGTCATCATCATCTTTCCCGTCGCCCTCGCCCTCACCCTCACCCTCACCACGAACCCCCGCCTCATCGAGGCCCGGATGCTCGTCAAACGCGTCGAGCAAGCCCTTCCGCTCCACCCCCTCCAACAAATCCACATGACCCAGGACGTAAGCGACCTGTTCCAACTCGCGGGCAGTGACGTTCAACCTCTCCAACACCGGCCCCGCGGCCTCGAGCAGCGCCGTGTACTCCTTGAGCGAGTACTTGAGCTTCTTGTCCGCAGTGGGGAAGAACCACAGGTACATCTCGTCCTGGAAGAAGGGGACGTGGACCGGGTCGAAGACGTTGAGGATCAAGGTCCCCGTGGCGGGGCCGATGCCGGTCAGTTTGCAGACGGCGTCGAGGGCGTCGGTTATGACGGCGGTGGACAGACGGGACGGTTGGGGGAAGGAGCCTGAAGTTGATTCTGAGGTTGATGAGGACGAGAGTTTGGCAAAGGCCAGACACGTCTGGGCTTGAACCGCCGAGGCGTCGTTCTTGCGCACCATGGCTGGGAGAAAGGGCCGCGAGTGGCCGTGGGTTCTGAACAAACGGGGGAAAGGGGTCAGCTTTCTTTCTGCGCCGTGACAAACCACACAGAAATGGGTCATGGGCGTGGCCCGGGAAAGCAGAGAGAATAGCGAATAGCAGCTCCTTGAAAACAAAAGCAGACAGCTGGTTTTTGGAGGATGGCATGGCATGCCATGTCGTTCCATCATGACCCCGGCCGGGATCGACAACGAAACACGCATCCGTCCCACTCCCATGGTAGAAACAAATCCTGCGAACAGAGACCAGAGGTAGCGTAGGGAATAAAATAGAATCGACTTGACTTGACTTGGAACAGACTCACATCTTCCACTGCACCAACCTCTCAACATCATCTTTCGTCAGCCCTCCGCCGCCGCCGCCACCTTGCGTACCGGAAGATCCATTCTTCTTCGTCTTCGCCTGCTTCGTCTTACTCTTGTCCTTCTTGGACGCTGACGCAACTTCACCATCAACATCAGCACCGCCAGAGACGGGTTCAGCCGCAGCAGCAGCAGCAACAGCGGCGGGCAAATCGTGGAACCTCCAGCGATCGCGCTTCAACGCCTCAGTGACTTTCTTGTTGTCGTTCTTCAACTTGGATCTATACACCTTCTCGACCAGCGAGGGGTACAGCCTGAGCGCCTCGCGGAATGCGGCGAGAGGAATTGCCGAAGGTGTTGGAAGCATTTGTGACATTGTTATTGTCGTTGGATAATCTTATGGTCGCCTGAATCCAGGCGGTTGGTTGTACGAGGTATAGGATGGTGGTAAACGGTTGGTTTGTTGAGATGTTGACTTGTTTGCCTACTCGCTAGGTATTGAGAGCACAGCTAGATCACTCGATTTTGATGCTTGGGGGTCGTCGTCGCTGGCGTCCTTGTCATGTGGTGTCGTGTCGTGTCGTGTTGTAGGCTCATATCATGGACTCATGTCATGGTTGATCTGATGAGCGTGGCGAAGAAACGCGTTGGGAGCGTGTAACGTCCAATCTATTATTTGGTGTCGGATGCTAATGCACAACCATCTACCTCGACACGTGGTAATTATATTTCGGTTACTTCTGTCAATCAGCGTTCCTGGATCCTTTGAAAAATACATTTCTGGCTCGTAATGACGAGCTGCTTGACAGGATCACGGGACATCATTTCGGTTACTCTTCTACTGTATCGACTCAGAGCTTCAACATTGACCCATCTGGATCCCACCAGTTCCTGAATGCTGTCTTGGTCTGCACCAATCTAATCTGACCTCAATTTTGTGTTCCGGACGCTGAAAGAAACCGTCCATTCCCATTGCATCCATGCACTGATCTCCCGAGACCGCCACTCTAAATGTAACTTGGAGCGACAGCATTGAAATAGAGCGTGCTCCCAGCCTTGAACAGCAACATACTGATACAATTTCCTTCTCAACCTGCAGGATCTCATCAAAATTCCTCGGTGAACTACGCCTTGGCTCTTTTGACTTCCTCCTTGGGCTGAATCCTCGCCATCATCTCCTCTCTCTGCATCAAATGTCCCACCCTCTCCAAAAGCTGCAATAGCCCTTTCATGCTGTTGCCCCATTCGTCCAACACCTCATCCGGTCCGCGTTTGACTTCGAAGCTCACCACTCGGGCAGGCCGGTCGATGCGCGCATACACCGTCTTCTTCGTCACTAGGTCCGATATGTACTTCTCGGTCTCATCATCCGAGAGATCCAAGAGCTCCGTCAAACGCGGGAACGTGATGCGTGTGTAATACTTGGCAATGACGCGAACATTGTGCTCAATCACCCGATGCCTCAGTGCTTCGTATCGCGTATGGGCCTGCGGATCACTCGCGTCCGGGGTTTTGGAAAAGATGTCTGTTGAGCAAAGGTGTTCACCATACTGCTGCTCGACCATGGGCCATCGCATGAGTTCCGGAATGGTGAACTGTTTCAACAGGGCTGCGTCTTTGGGGATTTCAGAATTGCGACTGTCTTGATAGATGCGGTGTAGAAGATCGGACTGTTCATTATCATACGGGGCGAGCAAAACAAAGTAGATGACTCTTTGGAGAACGGCATGGAGCTGTTCAGGATTGTTCTCGACGGACTCCGTATCCAAAACTTGTCGGTAATGTTTGCATACTTCGAGGTATTTGTCTTCGTGTTTCGCCAGTGTGATCTGTTGTTCGTAATATCGCAGTTTGAGATCCGTCACGTCGTCTTCTGGCTCCTGTTCAGACTGCTCCTCAGACTTCTTCTTTGCTTCTTTCTCCTTCCTCTCCTTTTCCAACTGCTCAGGGGTCTTCTTCGGCTTTCGGGCAAAATATCTTGTGCTGATTTTTCTGCTTAGAATACCGGCTTGCGTCCAGTCGTTGTTCTGTATACACAGTGCCACCTGTTCTAGGATGAATTCTGTCTTTTCTCTTCTCGTCATCGAGCCGAAAGTCTCCACTTGGAGTTCGCAGAGGATATCACATGCTGACTTGATGTCGCCTTGCTCTTTCTTGATGTTGGAAAGTATTCGGGTGATTCTGGCACGTTCGACCTCGACGAAGATCTATTGCCCATGTCAGTCTGATGGCACATCGATACAATGGAATCACTTTGCGCACCTTGCCCTCGGTCACGGTCCGGAGCGCCTCAATGACACTGAGCTTCGTATCAAGATTCGGTGTGTCGTCAAGGAAGCCCATGACAACCTGCACCATGTTTGTGATGGCTTGTTTGAGTTGGCCATGTTTCTTCGACAGGAGCAGGACTTGCTCGTTCATCAAGCTCCAATCCCCGGCCTCTTTGCATAGCGTGACAATGGTAACGAGACACCGGGAGGTTGTCGCGAGATCTGAGGACTGCGGCAATAGTTAGCGAAGGGCAGGGCAGGGAGTCTCCGGTCATCAATCACGTACTTGTCTTGCTTGCTTCTCAAGCAGCAGAATCTTGTCAATGGCTTTGTGAAGATCTTTCTGCGCAGAACATCAGCCAGGTTATTCATGGAAGTGACCAGCATCTCTACCTTCGCTAGTGCTTCTGCTTCGGGGAGAATCTTATCCGCCTCTTTCGTAAAGTCCTTCTCCGGCTTGAAGATGGTGCCGTCTGACATGGTGGCGGATGAAGAATGGGAACCGAAGACTCGAGATGGTATTCGAATAGTGGTACAGATACTAGGAAGACAGCGAGAAAGTCCCAAGAGGTCGAGGAAGCCAAAATCAGAGATTGGTGGTTTGTTGTTTGGAGCAACCTCTGGCCGCAGGTTGACATGAGCTCAGATGCGCTCTGAGCCTTGACGCGTCCTTGGCGCCTGCCTCGCCTCTCAGCCTTGCGTTTACTGAAAATTGCCTTTTAAGCCTCTCTATAACTGTGGAGCAGGTAATGCATTTGACCCAAGCAAGATATTTCTAGGATACCAAAAGTGTCTATATAAGCAGGCCACATGTTCTTCAGATCCTCTAACTACCCATCACCATACATTGAACCAATCCGTTCCCATGCTCATAAATTGCATCTACACGTTGCCCAGGAAGCCCTGGCTCTCCAGCATCAACACAATTTCGTGGACAATACTCCTGACAGACTGCTTCTCGCAGTCTACGGTCAAATCTGCATTCGAGGGCTTCTCATACGGATCGTTGATACCAGTAAAGTTCTTGATCGAGTTCCTCCGAGCCCGCGCATACACGCCACGCTTATCCGTCTTTTCACAGAACTCGAGGCTAGTGGCGACGTGGACCAAGAAGAAACTGCCATATTGCTGGATGGTGTCCCGAGCTTCCTGGCGGGCTTCCTCAAAGGGTGCAATTGGTGCTGCGATCACAGCAGCGCCAGCTTTGGTCAGTTCTGCAGCAACAAAGGCGATACGCGCGATGTTGGTGTCGCGGTCCTCTCTTGTGAAGCCCAGTTCGGAGGACAGCTCGTGACGGACGGTCTCACCCAGAAGGAGGGTAACGGGACGCCCGCCTTGTTCGTTGAAAGTGACTTGTAGGGCTCGCGCGATGGCGTCCTTGCCGGAATTTTGGTAGCCGGTCAGAAAAATGGTGAAGCCTTGTTTTGCGCGAGGAGGGTTCGACTCCCTCAATACTTTCACAACTTCCGGGTAGGAGAACCATTCTGGGATAGGAGCACCGACTCTCAAGCGTCTGCGCAACTCGGTGCCAGAGATGTCCAAGGTTTTCACCCCTTCAGGGACTTGATCCTTTGGTCGGTACTCATCTGTATCTGGTAGGTAGGTCATCATCTGGAATTCCACAACCTCAATGCCCAACTCGGCGCGATATTTCTCGACCGCATGTTGGGCGTCATAAGGACCATAGAAGTCCTTTCCTGAGCTGTTCTTGCCAGGACCTGCGTGGTCCCGGCCGATGATGAAGTGGGTAGCACCGTGGTTCTTTCGGATGATAGCGTGCCAAATGGCCTCGCGAGGGCCTCCCATTCTCATGGCAAGTCCAAGCAAGCCAAGGACGGCCATTCCGTTGGGATATCGGGGCATAAGGGCTTCATAGACACGCACTCGAGTGAAGTGGTCAATGTCACCAGGCTTCGTCAGACCCACGACAGGGTGGATGAGCACATTGGCCTGACGCGCACGGGCGGCGCGGACAGTCAGTTCACGATGCGCCCGGTGCATGGGGTTTCGAGTCTGGAAAGCCACCACACGAGTCCACCCAAGCTTCTCAAAGTGCACCCTGAGTTCCGAGGGTGTGTAACGCAGCGCCACATAGTCGTAGTGATTGAGCTTGTTCACGGCCTCGATCTTGCCACCCACGTAGAACTCTTTGGTCGATTGCATCAGGTACTTGATGGCCGGATGTTCTGGGTCTCCTCCAAAGACTTCCTGTGCCTCCTTCTTCTTGTCTGGCCTGTAGACGTCGTCCACGGTAATAATGGCAAGGTTGCGATCGTCTCGAAAATCTCGGAGGGTAATCCGAGACCCTGGCTTGATCTTGAGGCGCTCAATTATCTGGGCCCCGATATCCAGGCAGATGGGCATGCTGAAGAGAGCACCGCTCGCGAGTCTCAGGTTCTCAACGACACCATTGTAGTCCTTCTCGTTCATGAATCCCTCAAGCGGGGAGAAACCTCCGTTCATAATGAGTTCCAGATCACACAACTGTCGCTCAGTGAGAATGACCGCCGGCAATTTCTCAGCCTCAGCTTCAAGCTCGGCATGTCGAGGGGCATCTCGAGTCAGGAGATCTTTGAGAACTCCTCCGTGGGGTGGGTTGGCCATGGTGACAGTGTAGGAGGGGGTTTTGCCAGGGAAGACGTCAGAGGATTGGTTTTGCTCGGCACGCAGCGTTGAGTGGGACAAACGCTGAAGAAAGGGCAATGACAACGGGAAAAAGGACAGCACAGAATAGACAGAGATCTCAGAGAGGGAAATATCCTAAAAGAAGTATTATAACCACGTCCAATGCGAGCGGCCAAGGCCAAATAGTAAGAAACCTACTCTATTCTCGTTTGTTGCAATCCCCGCCACGGCTGAGCCCGCGCACAAATTTTTACGAACCCTGAATGATGTATGGTGTGCGCGACCCCTGCCTACTGCAACCCCTATACCGAGTAAGGATCCCCCGTGATCATCTCCAATAGTAGCGGTTGGCTGCGTCCGAAGCTATGTACCATGCCTGTGTCGAAGCTTGCACCGAGTTCCGGTGCCTGGCAGTGGTGTCCGTTTGGCGTTCGACAGAATGGTCCCTTATGGAAAAGGAGGGGGCCGAAGGGCTTGCCTCATGGGATTGTTGAGGCCAACCACTCTCTTCGGGTCTCGCTAAGGCTGCCGATCTCCGTTGCCATGTTCAACGATGGGAGCAGGGAGGACAGATAACAGGACAGGAGCTTGACACAAAAAGGAACCAAGTACTCTATGAATTTTGTTTCTGACTGGACAAGCAAAAGAGTTTTCCTTGCGGACTGCGCTTTTGCAACATGACTGCGGGCAAGAGGCGGTGTCTCCATGGGGGAGTGCTACACAGCCAGCCATGCAAAAAGAGGACCTTGATGCAAATAGGAAGCGGATGAGCAAAGGAGAGAGAATGGGCGGTCAGATAATCTGCACCTGTGATAAATCTATCGACAAGGGGGTCTTTGGGGCGTCAGGGCCTCCCAGCGTTGGACAGAGCGCCTGCCCTAATGGGGGCTGATGTCCTTCTGTTCGTCTAAATCACAGAGGCGGCGCTGCTGTTGCCAAGAAACCCCATGCCTCTTTTGAACCCTCTCGTGCTTCTGTAAAGGCGCGGGGCGGCCACCGCGGCCACCACGCTCTTTTCCCTCCCTCGATAACACTCACTAATCCATCATCCACCCCCTGATGCTGCATGCAAATGCTGATATCGTGTCGCTCATGTCTCTAATATGTGAAACCCACTAGGAAAATGCATCCATGCCATCACCGATGGCCGAAGTCCCGAACACCGACGCTATGCTGCCAAACACGAGGATCGCTTCAGACCTCGTCTCATGATTGCGCCTCGAGGCTGACCTTTTGAAGCGCTTGTTCCAGAGCTTCCCGCTCTCTCTTCTTTTCTTGTTCCATCAAGTACTGTGCATATTTGGAGCGGGGATTGTGAATACCGCACTCCGTTTTCTGTTGACCCTTCCATCGGCCTGCACGTTCGTCCTCACCTTCCTTGACAGGTTGGGTTGAATGCCAATCCCCGACACTCTTATAACCCCGATCCAGCAAGGCATTGTATGGGACGTCATTGTCCTTGATGTACTGCTGAATCTGGTTGAAGCTCCAGTTGGCCATGGGATTGATCTTGAGCAGACCGGCCTCGTCGACTTCAATGATGTCCAAGGATCCTCTGGCGCCACCTTGGCTTCTTCTCCGGCCGGTGAGAACAGCATATGCCTGCAGCTCACGGTAAGCCCGCTGTGCAGGCTCAACCTTGACCAGATAGTCATATCTGTTGTCATCCTTCTCCCATAGCCTGTCGCCATATTTCTCCTTGAACTCTTCTGCAGTCTCAACTTCGGCTGGCTTGAACACATGGATGTTGACCAGAGGGTATCTCTCCCGCACCTTGTCCACCAGCTCCAAGGTTTCAGGGAAGTGATGGAGGGTGTCGAGGAAGATGAGATCCACCATCTGCGGGCGAGGGACCTTGAGCTTGGACAGCATGTCCAGCTGGACGAGTCCTGTCAGGCCAAAGGCCGTGGTCTGGTAGAGGTTGGGAAGGGTGGTGATGGCCCATCTGAGGATCTCCTGAGGTTCGAGAAACTGAAGTTGGCGGTTGAGAAAACGAAGGTGTTGTTTGGTGAAGTACACCTCGGACAATTCACTTTCACTATTGGCACCTGAGGAATAGCCAGAGTCGGCACCGCCTAATGAGGGGCTGCTGCGGCCACTCCCACACGGGGTCTCGGCTCCTGAAGACATGTCGAGCTCACTTGAGGCAAACGGGTTGAAGAGGTAAGAGACTTGGGCGAGGGAGGACGAGAAGCGCGAGAGGAAACCCATTGAAAAGCGATCCGACTGACAACAACACTGGGGGGAATGATGAAAGTGCTGGAAGCTCACCTTTTTACAAATCAACCTGCTGCGATATCATCGTTGAGCACGCAATTCAGCAGTGGAGCGAACTAGGAGTTGAGAGCCTCGCGATCCGGTGCCAAAATTTGCAAAAACAGTCACTCATCGCTCAACTGCCTCATCCCTTGGTCGATGGCGTGATCGAGGAGGCAAAGAGCCTTCCCCATCGTCATTGGATGCCGCCCATTCTCGACGTTGAACGTCTTTTGTCATTTGCTGGCCTTCTCACCCGAGAACCGTAGGATATCGGAAGTCGGAGAAAATCTGGATTACATGCGTACCTAACTTAGAGGATAGGGTCTCCGGGTTCAGCTAGGCCCCATTTTCTATACCTCCGTGTGTGGCTAGGCAATCGGAGCGCAGCGTCCTTTGTTACAACTTACGTGACAGCTCCCCTGCGAGCACCTCATCCAAGCCAAGCCACGAGAATGCGGGAGTAACAAGACACTGCAAATTGCGAAGAGAAGGTCAACGATGTCGTGAGATTGTGACAGGGTGACGACAGCCCCCAATACGAGTAGAAGTAACGTTGATATCTCTCGAGTCTGGACCGAACCTGTGAGAGGGTGAGAGAGCGACAGCCGGGCGCGGGGATTTGCCGAGCCCCGGTGAAGGATTTTATCGTGCCTTGCGTGCTCAATCTCGCCAAGCCTCACGTGCAGGAAATGGAGGAAATGCACGTGAGCACAGCTGCTGGACTGTCTCGAGGTCACGGGATGCTTGGCTGCGTCAAACTGCGCTTTTTGCCTGCGATTGTTGCCCTTCCATCTAATTCGCTACAATCTTCCCGGAATTTTGTTTTGTTCTGCTTCACGAACTGGTGGAGGTATTTTCCCCAGTTCAATCTTTCCACTTGCAGGTAAGCTTGAGGTCGTTTTACCAGGCAACTTCAATGGTAGGGATCTTGGCGAGCTACCACTCAGAATATTCACCCAGTCTTTTCTCCATTGTCCCTCCATGCTGATCTGAGCCTCAATGGGTTGTTCCTGCATTGGCCTCGAGATGCTATGACGTCGTTTTGCATCCCGTCGATCGCACCCCTCATCCGTCCCTGTTGCTCTCCAACGTCGACCTAGTGTGGCTTCAGGACAAGGAGTACCTTTCGACCTTCAAAGCTGTTGCGCGACCTCTTTGCCATTTCAGAGAATCAGCTCGTGCTCGCAATGGCGTCGCCTTCTCGATCTCACAAGCTCAGCTTGGGGAAGGACTCACTGGGCGCCAGTACGTTTCTCGACGACCACCTTGAATACAAATCACGCCAAACAGGACCCTCGGCGAGTATCGATGGAGTTCTGGAGCAACCACCTCGAGTTCCCCGAAGCGTCGTTTCGAACCTTTCTCTCTCGAGCGCGTCGAGAAGATCCATCAGTGCCATCCCCCCTTCACCGATAGTGGCTCAAGAGAGTGGAACTATTTACACAATATCCCATACCAACTGTGTTCCTGAGGTTGGTGATCCGGCAAGACTTGTCGCGACCATCTTCTACAACTCGAGTGCACCGCGACACCCCCATATCCACCCAGATCAATCTCCCCCAGCCAGACCGACAGATCCAATACCAGTTCCCGAGATTGCTGAAGGCTCCGCGCCGACAACAAGCATCTCAGAATATCCTCTGGAGCCGCCTGCACCTGAACCTGAACCTCTTGATCATCTGTACGGTGCCTACATATCTCAACTATGCTTGACCCACTTCCTCTCTACACTTGACAGTCTTCTGGTGCACAACACTCCTGAGGAGAGGCAACTGACTTCTTCCCACCGATGCCTGGCACCAGATCCATTCAAACCAAGAGTAATGGAGGTTACCTTTAGCCCTCCTCCAAACCCCGAATACTTACCGTTTTCTCTCATCTCCAAGCACGAATCGATCTATAAATTCGAAAGAGAATGGAATTGCGAGGTCATTCTGCAGCCCTCCAATGTCTTCCGTCGACACAAACGTCTTTGCGTCTTTGACATGGACTCCACCCTCATCTGTCAGGAAGTGATTGACGAGATCGCCGCCTTTGTGGGCGTCAAAGACAAAGTTGCTGCGATTACCGAGCGCGCCATGAACGGAGAACTCGACTTTGCTGCATCTCTAAAAGCAAGAGTAGCGTTGCTGAAGGGTGTGCCAAGCGACGTATTTGAACGGCTCAAGCCCAAAATTGTCATCACCCCAGGGGCGAAAGAGTTGTGCAAATGCCTGAAAAGACTCGGTTTTACTCTTGCTGTCTTCAGTGGTGGATTCCAGCCTCTCGCGAATTGGCTTGCTGGGGAACTGGGGCTCGACCATGCGTTTGCGAATCACCTTGCGGTTGACCCCGACTCCAGCACACTTACTGGAGAACTCGAATCTGCGTACCCAATCGTTGACTCTCAACACAAGCGTAACTTGTTGATAAGCTTAGCAGCCAACAAAGGAATTCCTCTTGTTCAGACAATGGCGGTCGGGGATGGCGCGAATGACATTCCCATGCTCAAGACAGCTGGTCTGGGTGTGGCATGGAAAGCCAAATCCAAGGTCCAAATGGAAGCTCCTGCCCGCCTGAATATTGGTGAGAGCATGCTGGACTTGGCCTATTTGTTGGGTTTGTCCAAGGAAGAAATCGACCAGCTTTTACGGGACTAGATGGCGGATCCAAAGAGGGTTGATGACGGGTATCAACGATGGATAGATAGTGTGGGAAGAGTGCACTTTATTGGCCAGCGCTTGAGCGAGTATCTGTTGGGTGAAGACTATCATCTGTTTCCGAGACTGCTGCATGGGAGAGGGAAGGTGCTTTGAGAGGAGAGCAGCTCCAGCTTTCAAGTATGTATTTGCTGCTTGGAGACGGAGTGGCTACGAGAAGACAAGAAATGAGAGCATGTCCTGTCGAAGAACGATATCATGAAACTGGTACCAAAAAGCACAGCACGACTTTCCTCTGTGTTCTCTTCTCTGTTGTCGCCTTTCCATCAATTTTTGAAGATGAATAGCTTAGGAAGAGGGTGGGCGAGTGAGAGTAGATGGGAGATTCAAAGTGCCACCTCCCCCCCTCCGCCCTCTTAACACGGTGGAACTGCTGTAGGTACCGGAATACGTAGTCGAACTCAAACTCGAACTCGAACTTAGTGTTATGAAACGACTCAATTCTATCATATCCTCAATCGGATTGGCGCAGAAGAAACAAGAAGAATACAAGAACAAAAGGAAAAGGAAAAGGAAGAAAGTCTTGTGCATGCATGTGAATCAAGTCTACCTTGGTCCGTACCATACCATACGTGTGGCAAAGTAAAGCGTTGTTGGCTCAAAACATAGGTACCCAGCCAGCCAGCCAGTAATTTTTGTCTTCCAGCACTCAAAAAACCTCATACAAGAAGCTTCACCGCGAATAGTACGACATTAAAGAAACGCTCGTTGGTATACACACACGTAGCCAAGATGCTGTCGCCTCATTTGACGCCCGCTGGTATTTCCAACAGTAGCTGTCCCGACCAAATCCTGTGACATCCCTCGACGTTTCGATATGGAGCCTCAGATGGTGCCAGGGAGAAATTCATCTTCATCTTCAAACGGATATCCCAATGCCGTTTACGACATCATGGCTTTGCAAACAATGGTACGTGCCGGCCGCATCCGGGCTCACATCACTCTTCATCCCGAACTATGAACCCTCTTTTCCACCCACGACTGGTCCATCGCCCTCGATAATGGTGAATTTGTCAAAGTTTGCCGTGAGTGCTAAGCTTTCAAATCCAACGTCCACCTTGTCGGATGTGGCGTTGCCCTTTGTCTGTTGAGCGAAGAACGAGTCTATGCGCTGTTGAGCGTTGACGGCTGCAGTCATGCCTTGAGACTCTTGGAGGACGAAGAGGACGACAACTTTGGCAAAGTCGAGCTTCTCGCTACTGATGGCTGTCGAGGAAGGTTCGGAGGCACCAGTGCTCGTTGTAGATGGCGATTGTGACGCCGTTGTTGTGGCCGAACCAGCGTCGGTCGTTGTAGTCGCGCTCGTGACAGACGAGGTCCCAGTGACTACAGCTTCTGTTGGGCTGACTGGCCCTACAATTGGTGAGCTCGCTTGGAAGACAATCCCATTAGAAGTCGAAGTTCCTGCGTCGCCACCATCCTGTCTCCTTTCGAGAGATGATCCTGAGCAGGCTGGTTCTGCACGCGCAGTTACTTGAGGTAGATGAGGCTTGTTGATCACGGGCGGATTGGGCTCAAAGCCAGGTAGCATAATGAATCGTCTCGTCCTCCTTGTTCCCAGGTTTGAAACACTTGAGTTGAAGTCCACCAGAGAATTTTCACCCGTGCAGGACAGATTGTGGGACGAGAAAAGTGATAATATCGTCGAGATGTTGAGAGCGATATCGAACCGCGTCTGTGCATCCGAAAGCGTAGGGAGGATCGAGAGCCCCATCGTTGCATTTTTGTACTCGTTATCCCCGTCATTCAACGTAATGGTCATACAATCCCCTGTGTTTTCCGACGTTTCACACTGGCTCCCGGTAAACCCGTTGGAGCAGACACAGACGCAAGCGTCGTTGCTCACTATGCTGGTGCCCCCATTGCGACAAGGATGACTGGCAGCACAGTTGCTGAGGCTGGCAGATCGGTGTTGTTTTGGTACAAGAATTAGGAATATGGGTATTAATACAGCGGCGGCAATGAGAATGATGATGACAACAAGGACGATGATGAAGATAGGTAATGACAGGCCGCAGCACTTCCGCCGTTGTTTTGTGCGGTGGCTTTTGGACAGATCGGTGGTTGAGGCGTAGCCATCGCCCTTTTCACCTAATGGCCACAGCGTATCTCGCTTCGTCGGGGTACCACCTATAGCTGGAGCAGGGAAAGCTGACAGCATGTCGGACATGGTCGAATGACGATTGTTAGGGCCCATCTTTTCACCACTACCCCACATGTCCAACATGCCTAGTCGGCTTGCAGTCTTTCCTCTGTCGAGATTGGCAGCAAGCTTTGTTGCCCGTCTGATCAAATCTGCCAGACTGGTTGTACTGCCACGACTCTCGGCTTCCCTGACAGCGTCCATGTCCAACCGAGGCGGTCTTCGATTGGCAGGGATCTTGTCACTCATCGCCGGCTGCTCAATACCCAAACCAAGCAGATTGTTGGTAGATTTCTGGGAATGTGACGAGGCAGGGGTCTGGGTAAGAAGCATTCCAGAAGAGATTGTATTCGGAGATTTGGGAGTCTGTAGATATTCTTTATCCGCCGAGGTAGAGGACGGGGATGTGTCAAATGGCATCCTAACAGGAGTGTGACTGCGCGAGACAGGAGTACCCGCACGCGACCCGATATGTTGGGTACCCATACCAGCAGCCACCGCTGCACTGAGGGCTTCCATAGTCGCTTTGGGGTTGATGTGGGTGGGGGGAGCAGGAAATTCCTCTGGGATATTCTGCTCGATCTGACTGTCTCGATTCCTGATAGTAGTAAGGGCTGGCTTGGCTCGTTTCCCGAGGCTTGCTTGCCGCACGACTTGTGGCATTGGATCTGGCGAACCGGCTAGGTCTGATTCATCATCATATTCATCTGGATCACCTGGATAGAACCGCTCCTCAGGGCCTAGAGCTTCACTTTCAGCATAAACAGAACCTGAGTAGCGTTTGGACGTTGGGGTTGGGAATCCTCTTGATCTCGATCCGGGTGTTGTTCCGGGGGTAGCATATTCGTCGGCTACTGATGACATGTAGGATTGATGCATATTGTACTTGCGACCTGGCGACTGCGAAGGGTCATGTCTGATTCTTCCTGAAGATGGAGGTATTGGTGGAGCAATAGGGAATCTGAAATTCTGCACCAGAATTCCATTCCCTGTAGGTTTCTGCTGCTGCTGGCGAGAAGAACTGTCAAACCTGACAGGAGGAGGACCAGTGCCAACGCCGGCGGGCACTTGGCGGGCACTTAACTTGACATTCGGGGGTACTCTCACTGATGGATGTGGAGGAAACTGTTGGTATTGCGAAGGTTGAGCATAGTTAGGTTTGGAGTAGTGAAAGCGGGCTTCATGACTGGGTTGTGGCTGTTGAGTCTGGTATGGATCCATGGCAGCTACGGCTTCGTATCTAGACCTCGATGCTGATTTGGGGTAAATTCAAGCGTGTTGGACTCCTTTGCCGCGTTTCAGCAGGACTTGGAGTTCTTCCAGGCTTTAGAAGTATATAGGCATGTTCCTGACATGCGTGAGGGATTCAGAGAAGTTGACGGTGGCGCTGTATGTGACAAGTCTGTAGAAATGTCCGTTCGTGCAAGAAGAAAAGACTATTCCCATTATGTCAGTATGCTCGACAAGGCATTCACCGTCCACTAGATCGTCTCCGGGAGCACTTCGCTACATGACAAGGCTCGTCCGAACCCTTCGAGAATCGTCTTTTGTGCTCATGAAGCCGCGTACCTTGTGTGATCTGCTCTATCAATGCCTGGCCGCCTTCCTGCGCTCCTGCGCTTCCTTCTTGCGGAGTTGGTCGGATGTGCGGGAGTCAATGGATGGTTCGAGCGCCAGATCTCGCTGACTTGGGTTACGAATGGGCTGGGAAGAGGCTCAACCTAGGTGGATAGGCCGCAAAACTGGTTGTGAGGTGTATGTCGGTGAAAATAAAGGCACAAAGAAGTTGCAGGCACCTGTCCGCGATAGATCAGATGAAGAGAAATCGAGCGCAATAAAACGAGCGAAGAGGTGAACGAATGTGCGGCACTTGTGCGTAAGGAGCGACGGGGAGAATTGCTCTGCAATGGAGAAATAGCAATCTAGGTATCTAGCGAAAAGAAGAGTCGATAGACATGCACCGAATCAGGCTGAACGAGTACAGAGTGACCTGAGAGAGGACAAAGACGAGATTGAGAAGGAGCGGAAAGCACGACCACAGGACGGCGAGCGAATGAACGGAAACCAACGTGGGAGAAAAGGTGATACAACAAGTGAGAGAGAAGCCGTGTCAGGAGGTTTGAAGCTGGTGCCAGCAGCGCAGACGATGCGGAGCGATGCAGGCTGGTGACAAGGCAGTACCTGGTACCTGGCTAACGGGCAGCGAATGGGGCAAGGCCTCGGTATCTCGCAGCCGATGAGGGGCTCTGGGGGCTTATTACGGTTGGGGCTATTCTTTATGGAGAATTAGCTTGCCCATGTACAGGCACCTTATTGGCCTCTTGGGGGCTAGTTTAAACACGTTCGCCTGCAGACCCTTGAGCCGTTGCAGCCCGTTGCTCCACCTTCAAAACTCGGCTAGACAAGGACCAGGGCGCAGTTCTGAAACACCAGCCTGCCGTCCATGCGAAGTGTCCTGTTCCTTGTTCCTTGTTCCTGTTCCTGCATGGAAACAATCTCAGAATCCTTGGTGTGATCCTAGATATGTCGGCGACGAATCATGCAACTCATCCGAGAACTTATTATCTGACATGACCCTCGAACTGTCCGTCACAATCTTGATGCTGGCAAGGCTGTTCCCGAACACATTTGATCTTGGTCTACGAGGCCTACCCCAGAGTCGTCAAACCAGATGTCGATCGCACATGGGCCAGGGTGAAGACTGAAAGGTATCGATGGATGTCAAGGGGCAAATAATAGTGGTGGCTTAGACCAATGACAAAATGGTGGCTATCGAAGGCTTGCTATCCGTGAGACATCCATTGAGTCTTGTACTGAGTACGAGTACCGAGTACCTACACTGTCTTGCTTGTAGGAGGAGGTACGAGGTACATACTCCATTGTTCTTCGATACTGGTGGCTCTCTACATATCTACCTATGTACATACTGGGTACTTATATTCAAGACTTTAAGTCCGAACAAGCCTCGATCTGGCGAGTCAGATGCGTGGTCCATCGACTTGGCTGCTCTTTAGTGCCATGAATGGCGTGTCGCTGCGTGGGACTGAGATAATAATACAAGCATTGACAGGGTTAATGAGGCTGCGATCCCGTAATTTATTAATTAATATCCGCAAGCCCACGGTGCCATGGCGCTCATTGTGCCTGCGCTCACCGCTCGTGCTCCATCTTCGTCACACTCCGTGAGGTACTCGTACATTGTACTCGGTACATACGTCTGGACGTAATACACTCTGCAGAGTAACAGTGGGGAGGTTGTCAAATTAGATAGTCTACAATCCTCTTTCTCCATAGGTACCTATATATGGGCGAGTAGAAGGTACTACTTCCTCCTTCATGTAAAATAGACCCCGGTCTGTTCTGACACCCATCTCCACCCTCACCACTTGATCAAGATCAACCCAATCTCCATTGCGATGATCTCATATCCACCCCTCTATCGCTGTGCAAGGATTTATTCTTGAGCAGTGTGGCAGTTCGTGTACCTAGTATCCCACGAGTTCTCGAGTGTTGTGCTAAACCAATACTCAACTTTGGCGTTGTCTCTTCTTCATGTCACATCATAAGCGCGCACATTGTAGATGGACATATTGAGGTATCTCCCTGCTCCAGCAACAAACCTCGCCAACATACTGCATCTCCTGCTTTTATGCACCATAGGCCACACCATTGAGCAAGTTCTCGGGTTCGATATGCATAGATCAAGCAACACCTGGAGCGGGTTGCGGCTAACGGCTTCCGATCTGGCGAATGAGGCTAATGCCTAATTCTAGAGACCATATCTCACGGTGTTGCCACGCCTGTCTTGTGCTGCAGAGATGGTTTAATGTGCATGGGACTAGGCCAACTTGTACTGCCTCATGTTGTTGTGTGGTACAATGACCTTTGTGTGCGCAGCTAGTCTTGGGCTTCCTGCGGCCTGGTCTGGCAGTCTCAAGTGCTGGATCGATTGCCATGTACCAACCATGCCGCAGTTTGATCATACAAAGCACCTTCAAAATTTGCCAACATGACCAACACTCCTTTCAGTGTCTCTTCATCATGTTGACTGCGATCGCTCTTCCCGTCAATCAAGGATGCCGGTTGCCAAAGACACGCGGCTGCCAGGGCTTGAGCCATGGACCTTCCCTTCCAACCTGTGTCATGGCATGACTTGTCAATATCTCCGTTTACCTTGTCCCGAGACCTATTCATGCCTCCGTCTCCTTCTCTTCATTGTCTGTCTTTGGCTGCAGATGTCCGCTCCTTGTCTTTGGGTACTTCTTTTGAGGTCGAATTGAGTTTGAGTGTTATTGCATCTCTTTCCTCTGAACCCCTTCCTCGGTATGGATCATTCACCTGGCTCTTTGCCGTCCAGCGACTCTTCAGGCAGGTCAACGCATTCTGGTTATCCTCCTGGGACTCCAAAGCGTAAGTGATAACCGCCTCGAGCTCATCAGGTCGAGATGAGAACCTGCATCTTACACTGTACTAATCAGTAGTCCTTGCAGCACCAATAGATCCTCCCCGGCGGCGGTCCTCCTTATTCTTTTCTAGAGTCTTACACCCTTCGCTTTCCTCGAGAGCACCTGAAGGACATAACAAAGACGTTGGCGAAAACCAGAAGCCCTTCCCAGACGCAGTATTGCCTAACACGGGTCGGAAAAGAATCCAACCAGGCTCAACAAGGTCGAAAGTCATACCTGGTCACATTGGACAAATGCAAAAGCTCATTCAAAGTGCGAAGGCTTCATTCCGCCTTGACGCCCGGTTCGCTGCCTCTCCAGTTGGCTCTATTGATTCTAGATTACCCCCAAGTCCTGAGAAGCGGGACACTTCTAATGTCAACCCTGGTCTTGTGGGAGCTGCTAAGAAAGAAGGCTTAGAGTCATCTTCCAAGAATTGGAGATACTCTAGAGCCCCAAAGTCCGTTGCTGAATTTGACACGGATGTCAGAGAACCTTTCCCAGAGGGATCTCCAAAGCTTCCAGATTTGCTCTCAGTTGAGATGGACCATTGCAAGGTGTTGGCTGTTGAGCCTCCCAGCAGCGGATTTACTTCGCCTGTCGATAAGGGAGATTTCGCGCTTCCCCTCAAGGATACGCCCAATTTTTCCTCATCTCCCGTATTGCAAGTGTCGAGGATGTCAACCGACGATTACGGCGACTTATCTCCCGCAGGACGTCTGTCCATCACTGACTTGGAGCGGCCATTGACCCAACTTCGCGTGAGTGCTGACTATGACATGGATATCGGTTCAGGAGAAGAGTCACCCGTCGTCAGTCATCTCCAACGCAAGTCAATAGACGCAGACGGACAGTACAGAGAGTCGCAAGCCAGTGCAGAGGACAGATTTGTTCTGTCTCCGACCGTGAAAAAAGCAGCAGACTCGGCGAAGCGGAAGCGCTCAATGTTTAGCGACATCTTTCCCAAACCCCCAACGCACAGAGGCAGTGATGGCACTGCATCCTCTTCAAAGGGATCACAGCATACAGATGGCAAACCATGTCCGGATCCTCGTCTGCATACACGCGGGCCGACGGTATTATGCCCTGATCCGACTGCTCACTTCAAATCCCCAACACCCAATGGACTTGGACATCATAATGCCGCCCTACCTTCGAATGTACAGGGGAGGTGTGAACGCCAGCACGGCGCTCCTCCAGGATTTGGTAACCCGCCCCTCCCTTTCAACCGCGCCACTGCGACAGGCAGTCCAATGCCATTGTTGAAAGCCAGATCACCAGCAGTCCCCCGCAGAGCAATGACCCACAGTCCGTGGTATCCTCCGCAAAAGTTCACCCAGCCTCGATCTCAAGTTCCTATCCATAAGTACCGGAGCCGGCGACATGTTGGTACTGCATCGGAGCATTTCGAGCCTGGCTGGTATTATGCTGAGAGCCCTTACCAATCCACAAGGCTGGGACCTCCAATGTACTCTTTCTCAACAGCAGCAGCCAAAGTTGTCGGACAAGACCCAGCTCCTGATTCTAGGATTCGAGATTCGTACAGAACAGATACTCTCACACCACTGGCAAGACCTGCTTGTCGATTCAGGAAAAATGGCCTCAATGCTCTTGCCAGCGCTCGTGGAGTCGGTAAGCACTACGGCGGTCCTTCATACCTGTCGAGGCCCCCTCAGCGTCGCATGCAGCCTCGGAGGTCACGTTTGCCGAACAATCTGCAGTTCAGAAGCAGTCCACCACAATGTTTGGCGGAATCTGCACCAGACCCGCAACAAAAAAAGAGGTCGAGAGACATCGAGATGCCCACAAGTGAGATCTTCGAAGACCAAATAGCAACGGAATCAATTGACCCAAAACTGAGACTGGAAGAAGGCGAAGAAGTCATTGAAGTCGACGAAGAGACTCAGGCAGCTGTCCGTATGGGCCTGTTCGGTGCTCCGGACGCAGCAGCTAGCCATGACACTGGAAGAGGTATGAAGGAGCTCAGCCCACACGTCGGGGTCTGGCGAAAGGGCACACGACCTTCTGTTAGCAGGAAGAAACGGCGGCCTAGTTACTGGGACGCAGATTTAGAGGAGGTGATGCGAAGTCCCGCAGCAAGGCACGTGGGCTCGTCACCAATCAAAAAGGACAATGTAAGATCTGAGCGAGCTGGGGTTGAATTCCATGCCGACAAGGAGAATCAGATGCTGCTGACCGAGGAATCACTCGAAGATGAGTCGAGCATGGCAGAAGGACCGACTGTTTTGAAAGAGGACGCGTCGATGGAAGACCAGGGATTAAGTGGCGTTATTTCCCATTACTGATAAGGTGAGCTGCGAGCTGCGATGGTTGATGGCTGGAGTCAAATACATACTGGGATTCGATTGGTATAATATTAATCCGTAGTGGTACTATCGGAATGTACCGCCATGCAGGCCTACAATCTGACATTCATTCCTGACCAGTCACTTTGATAAGATCGCAAATGGCTTGGTAGAAGCTGTCTTCATAGGAGCCGACGCTCCCCTCGGTGCCTCATCCTCGCTTCGGGGCCTTGCAGAGAAGCCAGCCGGTGCCTTGTTTTGGGCCCTAACATGGTACAAGAAGACATGGTCAGCCAAGCTTCAGAACCTTGGATCGTGGCTCAGATCGCAGGCTTGCTGTTGGAGGCGAAGCGGACAACAAGGATGACTTCTTGGCCTGCGTTGTTTGGGACTTTGCAGACGAGATTGTACGAGTCATCAGAAGACTCTCCGACTCTTGGCCCCCTGTGGTCTTGGACGCCAGTAGCTTGCTTTCGATGTTGATATCATATCTGCTTTCAGGCTCATTCAGGGTGGGAGTTTCGTACTCATCCCCAATCCCTAATTGGCGCCGAAGACCCCATATTTCCTCTTCCAGCTCTCGCAATGTAGATGTGATGTTCAAGATTTCAGGGATCGTTGAGGAGACCGCTGCGGTGAAATGGGTTTGACATGTGCGTAAAGCGGGAGGGATGAGGATGCCGTACCATTTGAGAGGGTCTCTGGATGTGTCTGACACTGACGAAGTGATTGAGATACGGTAGAGGGGTTTGGCTGTTGGCTCCTGGACGTTCTCTTCCGAATCATCTTTGAGGATTTCCATATCTTCATTGCTCCGTGACAATGATCCGGTCCGTCTAGCTGGAGTCTTGCCCGTCCTTGTTCCGTCGCTGTTCCCTGCCTCAAGGGTTTGTTCTTCCTCTTCCTCGAAGTCGTGCGCCTTCCAACAGCTCTTATGCAGCATGCTGTTTCCTTTCTCTTGGATCTTTGCTACCCTGTCCGCCTTCATACGCTCGTCGAATCCTTCCTCGCCATACCTCCTCCCAACGCCCAGGGTAGAATTTGCATTGCGATTCGCCTGCGCGAGTGCAAAGAATCCCTGTGAGAAGTCCTTGGAGAGCTGGGTGCGAAGATTGGTGTAGGTCTCCAAGATCGTCAAATAAGAAATGAGAAGCGCGTCTAGCCTTTCTGAGAGGAGTTCTTCAGGAGATTTTTGGTCTTTGGATTGCTGTTGTAGATCAGCCTGCGCCTTGGAGTCTGATGTCTCAGCTTCGACAGGGTCTGGTTGACTGCGAGAGGTGTTGCTCGGGGAGCTTGGGCGCGAGACCGGTGGAGAGGGAAGCTGAGATGCCATTTCCTATTCCCCTCCCAAAGTCCTCTCAAATGGCTTTAGGGATGTGAAATACTGAGTGTAATTCCAGGTGGAGTGTGACGCCTTTGATGGCAGCCTCGTAGAACGAGATCTCGGTCGTTTCGGAGATTTCAGGCCGAGCATTGACGCAACCCTGCGGCGGGATGCACAGTTTATTTGATTTCATGCAACCTGTAATTGTGAGAAGGCTCACGAGTCTATCTTTTCAGTCCATATCACTTTTCCCAACAATCACTCGCACTATCGAAGAATCTGCAGCGTGTCCTGCAGAAGTCATTTGCCTAGCGAAGCTGCTCTGAGTGCTGTTGCTGAAGGAACTCGCCGCAATTATTGAGCCGCGCCGCCAAAAAGTTTGACCTGCTCGAATTTCCTTGCTTGCGCCACCACACCCTGAGAACACCAGGAGTCGTTATTCAGAGCCAGTCTCGATACGAGCATTTTCCCACCTCTTGCACGCGCTCTAGCTCATACTCTCTGATCACACATACACGAGTGCCGCGTCCCCGATCGCATCAATGGCCTCCTCCGCATTGGCCACCGCGGCCGATACCTCAGCATTCAGTGTCCGTTCACTGTACCGGTCACTATTGCGCGAAGGGAACAAGTTTGCGAACTACAATTTCAGGATGTACGCGAGGAGAAGGACGAGGGATGCGTTCCACGAACATCAGCACGAGAGGGATCCGCGACGGATACAGGAGTTGGTGCAGAAAGGTTTGAAGGAGCTTCAGATGTTGAAGGTGCGTTCCTTTCTTTACTTCTTCATGGAGGGGTTCCCCTTTTAAGTGTTTCCGAAAGATAGCGGTATTCTCCTCTTGGACATGAATGAGGATCTGCTCACAGACATCCTCCGTTTACAACCCTGGAACAACTCAGGCAATACGCGATTCACAAAACGAGGAACTGACTTTGGCCTATAGAGACAGACAGTGATATCACAATTCTACCAGCTGGACAGACTCGTGGTAGAAGGCGGAAAGACGGTATGCATTCCCTTTCTTTTCCATAGATCCGGTCTCTTTCTGACTTCTGATTCCAGGGTAAAGAAATTGGGGACCGTGGTGGAATTGTGAGACAGAAAGATACAGGGTATGTGTCCTTGTCTGCTCAACTTCCCATTGTTCACGATGCTGATAGCTGACGTCTTCCAGATGGGACTGACATTTCCCTGACCCTGTCTGTTCCTGTTGATATCTGTATGTACCATGCTTTAGATGGACCGATCTCCTTTGCCAGGGATTGATCGTCCAGTGTGATACCAATGAATATACCAATCTCTCTCTCCATGAGTGTCTTCCCGTTCGACCTGTTCTATACCATTGTGCTTCTCTTCTTGTCATTCACCGTATGCCTCTTGCCTCCTCACAGATGCTGTCCCTCTAGTACCTCCATCTCGCTCCACCTTCCCTCCGCCATCCAAATTGCCTGGGATATAGCTGTTCCGACCACGTAGCTCCGGTTATACCCGCCGCTAATTGTGTTAACAGTCTTTAGCGTGGTTGCGAAGTCCTTGGCAATGTCCTCTTTGATAAAACATCCTTCATGCAACTCTCAGCCTTCTTTCTGATCTTCCACAACAACCACATCTTGTCTGAAGGTAAGTGCTTCCCCACGCGATATCTTTTGCACACGTGTCTCTGTAATCGCACCTACTCACCTGGTAATAGAGACAAGGTCGCCGTCGTTCCAAGTTTTTTGGTTTTTTTTTTTTTCGAAGAGGAGTGTCCGCGACACAATGGCGCCGGTAAGTTGTTGTTTTTCTTTGATTTCGTCGTCGTGGGATGTGAATAAGTCGCACTCTAGCACGAATCTGCCACATGACTTTTACTGCCGGACCCCACCAATTCACCATTACTTTCTGTTTCTGTCCTCTTTATCTTTCTCTCTCACCCACCGTCATCTCCATCCACCTTACCATCATCAACCATGGCGGTAATGTGGAGGTGTGTCGTATGCCCAAAGGAGTACCGCCACACCAGGACTGCATACAGACACTTCAGGGAAATCCACCCGGAGCTGACTGGCGGTGCTTCAAGCAACCGCCAGTGGATCATCCGGGTGGATTACCCTGATGAGTCTGGACACAGTCCTGGTGTGGAGGCCTCCGAAGAGGAGGACGTGGAAGATGATGAGCCGGTCGCCGTTGGCGCTGTCGCCTCTCCTTCGGTGTCTCCGACACCTTCTCTCCCTCCCTCCTCCGCCGCCCTCCCTCCCTCTCCTCGACCGATGTTCGAGGAAGAGCCAGTGGCTAATTATCTGCCACAACAGCTCCGGTCTTCTCGCTCGACGAGAAACCAAGAAAACAACCAATTGTCGCGAAATCGGGGTGGCCAACCCGATCACGACGTGACTGATGGCCTGCCAGTACAACGCTGGCAATTTGCCACAGTCAGAGTCAACCAAGACGCCCCGGCCGAGCCTGGTGACGGGACCAATCCGTCAACTGAGAGCACGGACAGCAACTTCCCTTGGCCCGACCATCCCATGCCATCCTGGTCTTCAGCAATCAGACCATTCAATCAGGTATGTCTCACCGCGGTCTTTGCGAGACCGACTATTTGCTAATGCAATGATTTTGCAATAGGAACTGCTTCGTCGCTCACGTGAGGGCAACAAGACCGCCAAAACTTCAGTTTGGGACCGAAAGACCGACAGCTGGATTCCAGGCATTGAAATAGAGCGACGCGAGGCCGCAAGAATCGCTCAAATGAACAATGCTAGACACACCTCTGCCACCAATGCCGATGCCATGAATGTTGACGAGGAAGAAGACAAGAATGACGAAGACAATGACGATCTCATGGACGTTGAAGGTCTAGCATCAGATTCTAAACGCCGCAAAGCAATCTCTGGCTCAAACGAACGATATTTTGAAGTCAAGAAATGGGTTCAGGTGCCTGCTGCCGTGGCCGAGAGGATGCCAGAACCAAAATACCTTGCTGATCGCCGACCTGGAATGGAGAGTCTCTACAAGGGTGCATACAAAGCCACGAATGGATTTGGAACTTTGGCAGACATTGTTGCTTCTGCAATGAGTAATGGAACTACCGGATACGATCTTAGTGATATCAATCCTGCTAGCGTCCTTGCCCCTGGGTCCGGGTCCGGCGCGCTCAACACCCAAGCAGACGGCACATCTACGCCAGTCCGAAAGAACATGCCTCCGAGGCGCAAGAAGAAGAAGCTTGGTGGGCCTGGGAGGAAGCCTAAGAATCCGAATCCCGCACCGGCTGCCGATGCTTCTGCTGCCGCTTCAGCAGGGCTGGAGAACGCCGCTGCCGACGATGCTGCCGCCACAAGTACTGTCGGAGGAGATGTGACCATGAGAAACACACCAGAAACAGGTGTGGAAGGTGGCGACAACGCAGAGGGAACGCCCGCCATCCAAGGCGAGGCAATCATGCAGGACGCAGACGTGGAAGGCTCTGAATCAGAGAGCGAAGACGAAGGAAGTGAGGAGGGAGAGATCGCCACTGACATCAATCTTGCTCCCACTAGCAACACCTCTATCATTGATCCCGCCCTCACAGACAACAACTTTGCCATCGATCCCGCCCTCTCAGACAATAATCCTGCCATCGATCCCGCACTGACGGGAAACACATCTGTCGACGATCCTGCTCTTACTGAGCACGCCATGGCCACACCAGTCTCACCCAAGTCAGTTGGGGAAGTTGCCATGGCTGAAACAGAGGGTGCTTCTGAAGAAGACAAGAAGGAAGACACCAAACAGGAGGTGGTTGCAGCTAACAATCCTACTGCAAGCCCTGAAAGAGTTGAAGCTGAAGCGGATGCGATTGCAGATGCTGACGCTATCTCTACCCCAGCCAACGAGCAGGAGGCCAAGAAAGAAGAAGAACAAGGTGCAGGTGATGGACTGGACGTGCTTGGTGCACTTGAGGCTGCAGTGAACAAGGAGGCTGGTGAGGATGCCTGATCTGCAATAACGCCCAGCATAAGAACAAGACGTTGAAATCGGTCCAAAACAGTGATACCCGAGCGAGACCAGAAACGTTCAAATACGGCGTTGTGAGGAACGAGAACATGATGGTGAATGGTGCTTGTACGAACAGGAAACAACGGCGGCTCAAACATGGTGCTTTGGCGAATATGGACAGGAATTGCGACAGGAATTGGGCGGTTCAGACATGATGTTTTCAAAGTGCAAACAGGATGGCGGAGATATGGCGCTGTCAGGAGTGTGCAGGAGTGCAAATCAGGAAGTCAGAATATCAGGAAAACGTCAAAGAAAGTGGAGGCAGAACACAACCTGAACAGATTCTCGCAAGAGCCGAGAGAGCAGACAGCCTGAACTTGTGCTGCTATTCAGAGAGAGAGAAACACCAAAGTGTAACTCTCATGTTTCAATGAAGATTGATTTTTATGGATACACTTGATGGGGTCAGCTGTCCTGCCATTTCCGAACTCCCATTTGTGATCTGCATGTCCGACTTTCACTATGTGCCTGTGGTCTGCTCCATCGCACTCACTGTCCGTCTAGCTTCCACGGCTTCCTTCCCTCGTATTACACCCAAAGTGTTAATTCATAGTAGAGAAGGTGATTTACTCAAAGGGGTTGGTCCGGGTTCCCCAGTACGTGAGGAACACACTCAGGCCAACAGTCTCGAACAGGCGGGTCAAAACGCCGACTGCGACGGTGTCCAGAGGCCGGTTTTCAACGACGACTTGGGAGACGAGCTGAGCGGGTGTTTGGTTAGTCTTTGACCACAGACTGTACGGGGTCTGGACGTACCGATGGACTGTAGGAAGCCATGAAGATCAGACCACCGAGATATGCAGCTCCTTTGTATGACAGAGTGCCAGTGGCATTGATGAGGGCAGCGACACCATAAGTCTGCACGGCAGATCCAACAATGGACGAACCCCAGCTGGCTGCGGCGGTGGCAGTCTCCTTCGACTTGAAGAATTCTTCCTTGCTGTCGGCGGCCTTGGCACGGTGGTAGGTGTCACCGAATAGAGGGGCTAGCACGGCAGCGGAGGCGGCCTGGTTGAAGACGATGCCCAGGGCAATTGCCGAGGGCTTGACGGGTGGAAGGTCTGGAGGAGAGGGAGCAGGTTAGCAGAGTGCTCTTAGATTTATTGCAGACGTTTGGTCCAAGAATGAGCTCTGTCTTTGGAAGTCTCGGGTGGTGACGTAGAGAACATTCAATGAGGGATTGGAGGGGGGAAGTGAGGACATACAGTGCAGAGTTGCCATTGTGGTGTGGTTGTTGGGTAAATAGAAGACTGAGGATGTATTTGGGGTCTTGAGTTGTTGCGGCGGCAAGGGAGATCAGAGGTCGATGGAACTGCGCTTCTTGGGAGGAGGAAAGAGAAGGGATGGGATGAGGTTGAGCTTCGAGGCAAGCTTATATTGAAGAACCTTGTGACGTGCAGGGGGGGCGCAGAGGGACCGAAGTGACTTGGAGACTTGCAATAGTGGCGCCAGAGCAACCGGGAAACCAAAGCTTCAGCTACTATGGCGCAAAAACAATGACGACACGGGGAGTAACGAGGCGGTAATATTGAGGGGGAGACACGAATATTACATGCCCACACAGAGCTGAGCCACAGATTGCTGGGGGCACTCCACTTTGTAATGACCGTCTACAAGTACAAATTCGGTGGCTTGGGATTTTCGATGATGTCAGTGCCGAGGATCAATCTGGTGCAATTATGGAACACCTGACGTTAACCTTTGGAGACCTGGGATTCTTTCACCTTCCAATCATCGATCTTGTCATTGTTGCCTCGGATCCAAGGGCATTTTATGTTTCTCGAACAGCTCCATCTGGGTTGTTGGACTCTCAAGGCAGATGAGAACCATCTTACACCTTGGGAAAGAGATGCCTCTAAGGTAGGAACAGCTGCAGCTAAGCATGTTACCCCGGATTATCTGTCCGCTAAGCTATCATCCAATCATTTCGGTTGCCTGATGTCGGGGTCTATCAGCAGCCTCGCGGGTGAGCACTCTGAGAAAAAGTTTTTGTAAATGGTCCGTGTGCGGCGACAGCCACCATTCTACCAGAGACCAAGCAGTCCTATAAACTAATCGCAGCATGGATCGAGTCTCGACCTGGTCCTTTAGCAAGCACCCTTGATCAAACAGCATTAAGTCCGATAGCGGAGCAAGAATGAGAAACTCCGTAGCGCAATAAAAAGCCTCCTCGATTCAACGAGTTACAGAACTACCAGCCCACCCAAATATGCCTGCCTCCCGCTCCCCCTCTCCAGAGAACGACGTCTTTGGCATCTCTACCGCCCTCATTCCCGAGCGCGACAACAAGAAGCCCACAACAACAAGTCTGACCTTTGACAACCTGCTCCCCTCCACCAGATCCCTCATCCTCCACGAAGATCTGCAAGAAGGATGTGGCGGCCAACTCTGGCCCGCCGGTATGGTCCTATCAAAATACATGCTGAGATACCACAGGGCTGGGTCGCTGCGAGGAAAGTCTGTCGTGGAGATCGGTGCAGGTGGCGGGTTGGTGGGGCTCGCAGTCGCACTGGGGTGTGAACTCGACAGCGACCAGAAGATCTACATCACGGACCAGATACCGATGCTGGCGCTGATGAGGAAGAATATCACACTCAACAAACTAGAAGACAAGGTTGTCGCAGAGGTCTACGACTGGGGCACCGCGCCTCCTCCCACCATCTTGTCCTCTCGCACCCAACATCAGCACCCCGACATCGTCCTAGCGGCAGACTGCGTCTATTTTGAACCTACTTTCCCGCTTTTACTCCAGACCCTGAACGATCTCATCGGCCCCGAAACGACCTGCTACTTCTGCTTCAAGAAGAGACGGAAAGCCGACATGCGGTTCATCCGTGACATGACGAAAAGTTTCCAAGCTGAATATATCGAGTACGATGGCAAGGAAGCGGATCAGAAAGAAGGCATATTCCTCTACGCTGTGAGACGAAAGAGTAAAGATCAAAGACAATGACAAATACAATTTCTCATCATTTTGTCTCGACATGTAAAATTACAATTCTCACTATGATTGTGGTATCTCAGTCTCGTAATAGTCGTACATCTGATGCCGCTGATAATTAATCACCATGTATTAGCCCCGCGTGGCAATACACTTTCGTCTGGCTCGTTTCGCATAGGACCCGCACCGAATAGAGGGCTCATGCTTGTCAATCTCTCTCTGCTTCTCCACACGGACAGGAGGGACTCGGACCAGGCCCTTTCCAGAAGTCGAGGCTTGGAGGGTCTCTGCTGCCTCTGCTGCATTTCTGTATCAGGACCTTTAATAATATCGACGGGTTCGCCTCCCATCCGTCCCGTGCATTCGTCTAGTCCCTGCAGCCTTTTGTCCGGGCCTCCTGGTCAGGCTTCCTTTCAACTTCAGCATCGCACCCGAGACTTTGTCGCCGATGCTGGTCTTGCGACGGGGGGTGGTCCTGGTGGTCGCTGGTGTGCGGCGCACACCGACCCGACGTCTTCGTGTGGGTGCAGTGGTGGTGGGTCTGGTTCGTGTTCCGCCCATCAAGCGCTGCTTGAGGGTAGGCTTGGTACGGATTGCTGCCTCGGGTGGATGATGAGTGGTCGTGGTGGTCGTGGTGACCGTTGTTCCACCGGCATGGCGCTTGGTCTTTCTTCCTAGAACCATTTTGATAGTTGTTTTGTTTAGTTGGTATTTGGAGAAGGGATCTTTGAATGTAGTGTGTCTGTGAGATGTGGAGAGAGAGTGGAATTCAAACCTCAGATAGAGCCAGCATCAACGTTTTTCAATACTTTGCAGAATGTAGGATTTACCTGTCGTTTACCTCAAACGACCAGCGACGTCATATTGTGAGGGCCACTACTCGGCCACGAAACCGTCTTGGTGCGTCGTGGTTCGTCTATTGCTCTAAAGAGATCAAGAAGCATTGAAGGAAAACAGGTTTGACTATCGAAAGAGAAGTCCTCGTGGTAGATCGTCGTATTCGGCCAATCATCAACACGACAAGCAGCCACAGGATCTGCGCCCTGAGGGACCCCGATGACGCAGGGCAAGACTCCCCTTGCACCACCTTGCTGGGCACTTGGACCGTTGCATCTCGATCACTGTCGACGTCAAGGATGTTGCTTCCAGGCCGTGCCATCGTAATTGGGTGCCACACCACCGTACCCCATTGCATGCGATTAGCAAATCAGGGACCATGTCCTTGTGGCGGTGCTGTCGTTTCTTCAGGGTATAAGGATTTTATTTCCGATGAGCATTAGATCGAGAGACGTATGAGGTTAGAAGAAGAGTGTGGTGCTCTTTGATCTAGAGGATGCCGGTACTTGATGTTGCAACGGTGGTCGGGCACAAGAGAGCACGTAGGGGTTACAATGAAAAGGTGAAGCTGCAGAATCAAAACTAGGTGCTCGATACATGACGGATGAGAGAAGCAGAGAACAGGTCAGAAGGCAGATTGGAAGCTTTTCCCATGAGGACGAGGGATTCAAAGACAGTCTCACAACGGACAAGCGGGGAAATCTGCACTGTTTCATCGCAGTCCCGCCTCCTACCTATGTAGGTCCTCATCTCGTCTCATCTCAACTCAATTTCGATTCCAAGCACATTGACCATTCAGCAATTCTGCGAGGTGCCATGCGTTACATGTTGCACGCTAATGCACCAACATGAAATCTGTCAACAGCACATCTCGTCCTATGGCTGTCAAACCCATCTTCCTGCGGTCTCATGATGCGGCTGCCAAAACTCCATCTAAACGCCGGCCAGTGCCACCACCAAACACGACCAAACCTGGAAGAGTCAATCGCTCCGAAGGGCGTGGTTCTCATCGAATCTTAACGGTCAGAGGAAGCGACAGGAAAAAGCCGGAGCCAAGTTCAATCTTAGCAGACAAGTTTACAGGTAGTTGGCCCTCCTATCACTTGACCTATGCTCATTACCTCCAGAAAGTCTCGAACAGTACCGAGAGAATGTGCAAATCGAAAGCACAACCATGCTAGACGAGGCTGAGAGGAAACTGATTGGAGGCCTCACAGAACTCTCCGTCGATGTCGAAAATCATTTTCGTGCATTGGCAGAGATAGAAGAGCCGTTACAAAGACCACTTGCTACCGAAGCGTTAACGATAGTCTCAAACAGAACAGGTAACCAAGGGGCTGAGGGCGAAGTCTTGCTCAAAGATCGTATCATGAAATTTCGTGCATTGCGAGAAGAGAAAGAGGACGTCCTGAGCAAATTGTGGAAGGAATGGGAAGATATCCAGTTTGATCTGATAAGACTTGCCGTCGAGGCCTTCGGAAAGCAGTCACTCCTCATCGTCCAGCTTCAAGATAGAGCCATGAAGCCAGGCCAGCAAGAGAGACTGGAGAACACCCTTGACTCTGCTCAAAAGATACACGATGAGATTCACAACCAACATGCACAACTGGAACAAGAGATGACAGGATTTGAAGAGACCATTGGCCAGATCTCGAATAGAACGAAGAAGGCAGCCGCCGACATGCAGCAGGTATGGACTCTTCACCTCACGCTCGACTCCATCCTAATGGGCGATCACAGCAATATAATGTGCAAAAGAGCAAGTTGTTCAAGGGCCTCATGCAATCCATTGAGCAGCTTGCGGCGTTGTGAAAGACATTTGGACCCGAGATACCGGATGGTTGCAACCACACCTGTAGAGAGTGCTACACGTGAACGGTCATCGGTCCCGTGCTGACACTCAAATGCGCGAGGTTAGAAATGTCGGTCTAGGGTGAGGTCATGATCGCAACAGCTGACCTGTTCCATCCTCAACAAGAACTGAAAGGCCGTGTTTTGTGCAGATTGCAGTACACAGATGGACGGCCCGCGTCTCGCTCTTCGCCTCTTCAGACTGTCGATATCCGCGAATATCCGCATCGGACTCGGGCAAATGAGGTCAATTTAACTCGCGGAATCGAAGCCGGAGTTTTTCAGCGAAGCCTTGTTTCCTCCCAATTGGTGATCTTGTCCCACCAATCTCAACGTGTAGGTAGGTATGTAGACCTTCATTGTGTTGCAATCAGTGGCCAACCCCGCTGGCATCAAGAACCTAGTGGAAAATTTCTCTTCTGAAAATCTCTCGGTTGTCTTCTGCAACCATGTGACGCGATGTGTCCCGGTCTTGCGGGCGTCCTTCGCATTCGGTGGGTGCAGCACCGCCCTGATAAGACCTTGTACTTTCAAAGGCGTACTGCTTTAGCGTGGGAACGTGGTAAGTCGCGATCGTCAAAGAATGTGGATTGGCAGACCAACGGAACGGATCTATCTCTGAATGTGCCATCGTTTGTATGTATGCCTTGTTCCACCGCAAAACCTTGCGAGAATCCACTCCAACACCAGTCTTGTGTCTCTTGGATTGTGTTTTTTTTTTATGTCCAGGTACCCGCGTCTGCCGAAGGCGATATATGAGTCAAAGGTTTGTTCTTCTATTCCTTTCGACCTTTTCCCTGTTGTATCTTTAATCCTTACAAGCGGCTCATCTATCCTGGCTATTATTGACACATTCTTTGTTCTTTGAGTCAATTGATCATCTTTGAGTCAGTCACCATGGCTCCAGTTGCTGTTACGCCTGTCTCTCCGCCATCTCCCACCCTTGACGATACTTCTAAATTGACCAAGGCTGGCACGGCCGCAATACTTGAGAAGACTGCCTCTAACAGCCGTCGAGTTGCAGAGCTAGATGCCTCGAAACTGACCATTACCCGCAACCTCAACCCCAAGGATGTGCCGGTGGCCAACTCGCCAGAAGTCTGGTCGCAGAGCTGCACGACGGATCATATGCTGACCGCTCGCTGGACGGAGAAAGATGGATGGGAAGCGCCCGAAATCAGACCTTACGGGCCGCTATCCATCATGCCCACGGCATCCGTCCTGCATTATGCCACCGAGTGCTTTGAAGGAATGAAGGCATACAGAGGCGTGGATGGCAAGGTCCGCCTTTTCAGGGCCGACCGCAACGCAAGACGATTCTTACAATCAGCAACTCGGATTGCACTGCCCAGCTTCCCGCCAGAGGAATTTGTCAAATTATTGAAGAAGTTCGTCGGCGTCGAGGCAAGCAAATGGATTGCCGAGCCGGAGTCTTTCATTTACATTCGACCAACCATGATAGCAACGGCACCTGCTCTCGGTGTACAGAGACCCAAGGAGGCATTGATGTATATCATCATGGTCATGTTCCCATCTTTAGACGACCCGAGCTGCAAACCCCCTTCTTCTCTTCCTGCGCAGCCCACAGCCTCGAAGGGGATGCGCCTCCTTGCTTCCCGGCACGACATGATCCGAGCCTGGCCGGGCGGATTTGGAAATGCGAAAGTCGGGGCAAACTACGGACCGTCGCTCGTCGCGCAGGGAGAAGCAAGGGCCAGAGGTTATGATCAGATTCTGTGGTTGTTTGGGAACGAGTGCTTCGTCACTGAAGCAGGCGGTTCCAATTTCTTCGTGCTGTGGGACAACAAGCAAACCGGACGGAGAGAGCTTGTCACAGCACCGCTGGAAGACGGAGTCATTCTCGAAGGCGTCACGCGCGCGTCGGTACTGGAACTCGTCAGATCTGGGGCGATCGGCGGCGGCAATGTGGATGTGGTTGAGAGGAAATTCACCATGCATGAACTCATCGAGGCCGAGAACGAGGGGAGACTCCTCGAGGCGTTTGGAGCCGGGACGGCCTTTTTCATCTCCCCGGTGCAGGATATTCATTTCCGAGGTTCCGATCTTGTCCTACCGCTGGGACGGGAAGGGCAGGAGAACGGTGTCGCTGCCGAGACCAACGGAGCCAGCTTTGCCATGGCCGTCAAGCAGGCCTTGAAGGACATCATGTATGGCCGACGAGAGCACGAGTGGGGTGTGGTGATTGAAGAGGAGAAAGAGAGACGTGCTTTTGAATGATGGCTCATGACACGTTTGAGAGTCCTGTTTTTTTTCTCTCTCTTTTCCTTTTGTTTTTATGATGGCCAGCTAGCATCGGGAGCGAACTGGGAATGAATGAAAAGGAATAAGCCGGGGGAAGCAGTTCGACTCGGTGATGATGGGATTTTTCATTATGGCCCGTGCGATCTCGGGCCGCGCATATATTGTTGTTTTGTACATATTGTCACTGGGGCATTTGGGAGTGTTTGGGAGAATGAACATACATCTGTGAACACGAGACTTTCTTGACCCTTTGAATGAGGTGCACATTCGATGGTGCTGGGAGATCGTGCTTTCTCGCAATCTTCGGTGTGAGCCTCATGAGCCTGAACTGCTACGCTCAGACCATGCATGACTCATTCCATCGCATCCCTCCTCGAGTCGAGGGCCTTTTCACGAGCTCTCTCCCTTGGCATCCTTGGACCTGGCCCCAGTGCTCTGCTCAGTCTCTTCTCGTGCCTCTTGTGCTTTTTGGCCTTCTACATCTCCACCGCTCTTGTCACCGCCAGCAGAGGTCGGCTCAACATCCTCGTCACCCTCTTCCGTAAGGATGACCTTCTTCTGCGCAAGCAATTCTGCTAAGCTGCCGTCCTTGTGCATGTTGATCAGGATGTCGCAGCCGCCGATGAACTCCCCGTCGACGTATAGCTGGGGAATTGTCGGCCAGTCCGAGTATTCTTTGATTCCTGTAAACACATATTTGATCCTGGTTAGCTTCAGCTGCCTATAGATTTGTCCCTCAACTCAAGTTTCCTTGGGTCGCGAGCCAGACGATTGCACACTGTCTAGGAGCTTGGGAGCAGCTGCTAGATGCCGGGTGTATGGAGAGACGTACCACTCCTCAGCTCATCATCCTCCAAAACATTGAAAGCAGTGAATTTCCGGGGATCTACACCCTGCAAGCCCAATATCTGGATCGACGTTCGTGAGAATCCGCATTGTGGTGTTTCTGGGGTTCCCTTCATGAATAGCACCACCGGCGCCGAGGCTACGGCTCTGTCGATCGCAGCGCGGACTTCTTGAGAGAGGAGCCGCGTCTGTGAGAGAGCAGTTGATATGCGAGGGAGGAGAGAGGCTGAAGTGGCGCGGGGGGAGATGGAGGCGAGGGCGCCACGAAGGGCCTGTTTGTAGTAGTTAGTTTCCTCTGCCGTTTGCAATGTTAGGTGACGGGAAAAGACATTACAGGTGTTCTTAGCGTTCTTTGCAGCATCGTGGAAGTTGTGTCAGGTATGGCTGGACAAACAGGTTAGGAGTCAAGTTTGGACCATGCGATGTTTGTTGGAGAAAACTGTCGATGGCGGCTCGGATGATGTCAATCAACGTGGTTGACAAATGGACGTCGGCCCTATGGTGCTGCGCTTCCTCCCCCCGATTTACACGGTATTTCCTCTCCTTCAACGACTTCGAACACCTGACAAATCCACCGAGTGAATTTTACATACCGCTCTATAAGAAGGGAATGTAGACTCTGAGAAAGGTAATTGCCTCTTTTCTCTTCTCCCATACACATCGGAAAACAAAAGCGCCATGACCACCACAAACCCCACAAGCAGCGGCGAGCGTTTCTCCGCCGCCGCCTATGAAAATGACGGTAAACACCACATTCTCCTGTCCGCAAGCGGCTCCGTAGCGGCGATAAAGATCCCCCTGATTGCCCGATCCCTTGGTTCGCACCCGAACGTGTCTATCCGCATCGTCCTGACAGAATCCGCCGAGCAGTTTCTGCAAGGCCAGTCGGCCGAACAACCCCCGCTGCGCTCCCTCCTGGATTGCCCCGGCGTGGACGGCGTCTACCACGAGGAGGACGAGTGGTCAAAGCCCTGGGTGCGAGGCGACAAGATCCTACACATTGAACTGAGGCGTTGGGCCCACGTGCTGATCGTGGCGCCCCTTTCGGCCAACACCATGGCGAAGATTGTCAACGGCATCAGTGATGGTCTGCTCCTGAACGTCATTCGGGCGTGGGACACGACTGGCTTGATCGATATGCGCAAGAAGAGGATATTTGTCGCGCCGGCCATGAACACTGCTATGTGGCGCCATCCGATCACAAAGAAGCATATTCAAGTATTACAGGAGGACTGGGGCGCCGATAAGGACGGTTGGTTCACGATCCTGCGTCCTACGGAGAAGGAGCTCGCTTGTGGCGACACAGGCGATGGCGCTATGATGGACTGGAAGGAGATTGTGAGTTACGTGGACGAGCACTTGGGACTTGGTATCCAGGATTTTTATGAGGCCAATGGTCAGTGACGACCGGAATGCTATTATGCGTCGCCAACCGCCTGAGCAGTGAGACGAGACTCCTCTTGAGACTTCCGGTAAACATAGTCTCCAAACAGACCGAGAGATATGACTCCGCCGGTGAACCAGGCACCGTTTTTAAACCACCACCAACAATCCTTGACATCATTCAGATTCACCCGACGAACCATGGTCGCCAAAGCCAGTGCCCCGCCACCGCAACTTCCAATAAAGAATATCGGACCTGCTCCAGCAAAATAACCGGCGGTGGCGAGCAGTCCGATCTGAGCGGCAGAGAAAACACCCAGGGCGGTCTTGGAATTGTGCTGGTGTGCTTGGGCGATCGACTTGATGCCCACTTTGACATCATCCTTGATGTCCATATAGGCATAAATCATATCATAACTGAGGGTCCACGCGACACAGCTGGCGTACAGTGCAGCCGCCGCCGCAAGTGCCTCAGGATTGGAGACAAGGTCGATGCCTAAAGCCGGAAAGCCCATGATGGCACCCCATGAAAAGGTCAGGCCGAGGACAAACTGAGGGTAATGGGTGACTCGCTTCGCCAGAGGATATACAGTGACTAGAAGGAGGCTGGGGACTCCATAGTAGAGACAAGGTAAGGGAAATTGTAAGAGCAGCGTCAATCCAGTAAGAAGCTGTGCGCCTAGATATACAATTGCGTTTTCAACAGAAACGGCTTTTCGCGCAATGGGTCGTAGTCGTGTGCGTTCGACATGTGGATCCAGGTTGCGATCCCAGAGATCGTTTATTGTACAGCCAGCACCTCTCATGATTAGAGCGCCGGAGAAGAAAAGAGCTGTGGTCGATAGCACCTCCAGCGGGGAGGCCATTGGTACAGCCATCGGCGCTGCCAGAAGTGTCGAAAACATGCAGGGGAGGAAGAGGTAGTATGTCCCTGCGGGTTTGTCGAGCCGGATAAGTTCGGCATAAGGAATCCATGATGAGGGCAGTCTCGATATGATACCGGTGGTGGGGGGTTTGTATATCGTCGGGAGATCCTGGGCTAATGGGGCGGACGAGGCCGATGTCGCTAGATGTCTCCCTGGACTCGCGGAGCAAACCAGCGCCAATACAGGTCGTTGTTTGCAGGGGGCCGTTGCATGATGAAGAGCCCTGTGCTGGTATGCCCGAAACCGACACACCGATGAAGCAGACCGAGAAGATAGCCTGAACGCCTTGCAAAGAATCTTTGCATGCGCTGTTCTGAGCGTCCGAGACATGTCTAGCGGGTTTCCATGGTAGCTTCGGGGACAAAGATGTTTGAAAAAGTTGCGACGCAAGGCTGAGAGGAATTTCAGGTCGCGCCGTTCGTTTGAGGAATAGCGCAGCCTTTCTCCGCAACCAGAACTTTTGTTCCCAACGGCGCGTCGCGAGATTCGACGGTGAACCTTTACGACTTGCAGTTTGCGCCTGTAATTCCCGGCTGCGCCGTTCCTTCACGTTCCGCTTAATGTTATCGTCACCTCCTCTCGTCCTAATTACATCCCTCTACCTTCGGTCACGCGAATCTTCGTCGAGCAGGCATTCCGCAGATTGACCGTCCAGTCTGCTTGCCCCACAGCCTCGGCGAGAATGCGTTTCATTTCCAAATCACCAATGCGAAAGAGAAGGGTTGTACAGCTGAAAAAGACCATTCGTCCTCTTCTTGAGACGGATTGACCATGCCGTCCACACGACCTTGTGCGGCCTTTGAGCCCATCTCACCAGACTTCGATCTGAAAGGCCTGGTCGAGTCTCAGCCGAATTTCGAGTGGGTTGTTCGCATCCACTGCGATATGATAGATCACCAGGGCCTGGAAAACTTCGAGAAACTGGTCCTCATTCATGTCATTCTCGGTGGAAAACCTCTTGTCATCGAGGGTTATGAACAACGACTTGACAGATGGACTTTCGCGCTGCAGTGGCTCCGTGACAACTGTGGATCAAAAGGTAGGATTCGTGCTGCTCTCACAATACGCATTACGTCCTGACGGCGTCCTTCAGTTGAAAACGCAAGAGATCTCACCAAGAAGGCCAATGTCCCGCTATCGATTGGCCACTACTTGAATAACATGGCATTATTGACAAACCAGTGGACACCACGGAACTACAAGGACCCCGCGCGTCAGCGGATGTATCTCAAAGATATCGACTGCCCGCAGCTATGGCAAGATAAACTATCGGAAATCATTCCTGCGGGTCTCTTCTACCTCAATGAGTCCACAGGTGATGTGGGTGGGTTTGGAGCAGTGGACCAAAACGACCCTATTCGGCCAGGTGTGAGAAAAGGGATGGGAATCGCCAGAGCTGGAGATTTGATGAGCAGTCTTCCAAAAGAAATGCGCGCGGAAAACCTCATGTGCTATATCGGTCACGAAGGGACCTATACCCCGGCCCACCGTGAGATGTGCGCAAGTCTTGGTCAGAACATCATGGTCGAAGCTTCCACAGGCCTAGCTGAAGACGGAAAAATCACCAAGCCAGGTTCTTCTATTTGGTTCATGACCGAAACCAAAGAACGGGAGGTGGTCGCCGAGTACTGGCTTTCTCGCCTTGGTCATGACATTGAGATCGAAAATCATTTCGCCCAAGTCAACGCGTGGAAGAACGCACCGTTCAAGACATACGTTGTCGAACAGAAGCCCGGTGATTTTATCCTTATTCCTCCATTGGCTCCGCATCAGGTGTGGAACCGTGGAACCAGAACGATGAAAGTCGCTTGGAACAGAACAACCGTCGAAACTCTCGAGATGGCAATGCATGAAGCTCTACCACGAGCGAGGATGGTATGCCGCGATGAACAGTACAAGAACAAGGCAATCGTTTATTACACCATGCAAAAATACTCGAAACTCCTTCGGCTGGCAGAGAAGTTCAGACAGAAGTCAATAGGGCCCAAACACAGAACCCCAGGCGACTCGAAGGTCAGGCAGCTAGAAAAGGACTTCCGCAGACTGCAGGTTCTGTTCACTGAAATATTGGTGTCGGAAAGCTTCCTTCCCGACCGTCCCGAGAAAAAGGTTGAATATATCCCGTACGAGAGCAACATTACTTGTTCATATTGCCGCTGCAATATTTTCAACCGGTTTCTCACCTGTCCCAATTGCGTGGAGCAGTTGGCAAACGGCGAAGAAGACACATATGACATCTGCATGGAGTGTTATGCGATGGGCCGAAGCTGTGCATGCATTTCAAAATTGAGGTGGGTCGAGCAGTGGCCTTGGGGAGAGCTGACCCAGAAACACGAACAATGGCGACTGCAGATTCTGCAATATGAGGGCAGGGTGACGGAAAAATCACCCATGCCACTGAAAATTGAACTGGACAGACTCGGGAGCAAGAGAACTCTGGCGCAGATCTGCCAGTGTGAATTAGACAGGAGGCCATATCGAGACAGGAAGCGTCCGCCATCGCCTGTGACAGGTGACGATCGCGAAGAAGTGGAGGAGGTGGACGCAAATGGGATCGTCAAGAAAAAGAAAAAGATCAAGCGAACCGAAAAGTTTCTGAAGGCACACGCTCGTTGTCATGTTGATTTCCACTGGGAGCCTAAATGGAAACAAGCAACGTGCACGAAATGCAGCAAGAATTATTGTTACGGCACTCTTTTTCGAAGATTCGACATGAAGCCGCAGGACATTCTCGCCGATCCGAACTGGCTGTGTCCGAGCTGTCTAAATATCTGTGGCTGCCGTCAATGTAAGACGAGGCCGGGGTACAAGCCCTACACCCCGTCGGGAACTATCCTTGGTCACAACACCAAGGCAATAGCCGACCCGCGCTCGGTGGAAAGTCTGGTAGACTTCAGCTACTCGAATATCGCGTGGATCCAAAAAGCAGACGATGATCACGGGGATCACTCACGTCGCCTCGAAAAGCGTCGTCAAGAGGCAGAAGTAGCCAAGGCAATCAGGCCTGAGCTCGGTGAGCATTATGTCGACGGTGATCAACAGATAGATGACGAAGTCGAGGAGGGTCTCCTTCGGTTGGCGCAACAAGAGGGGATACCGATCGATCCGGCGTTGGGAGCTCTAGGTCCACCTGAGTCCCCTGCAGATGACGAGGACGACTACGACGAAAACCCCGAAGGAGTGAAGGTCGCAGGAGAGTCAATCCCCATTGACGATGTTGCAACTCAATATGCACTTCCCGAAGGCGGCGTCATCAGGAATGTTGAGCACGCTTACGATCCCACCGAGGCTATCACTTATGACTATCCCGATCCAGAGGGCGGTCTTCATATTCCTGTCCGTGTCGAGGAAGAGCAAGCGGTCGTATCTTCAGGATATGCGACTGCTGGCGGAGAGGACCGGGCAGAGATTGAAATGGTCGAGCGAAAGCGGAAGCGCGTGAGGATTGATGATGGTGACCGTCCTTATTATCCCAAGAAACCTAACACTGAGAAAAATAAGGCCCGAAAGTCTCTGATTGTGAAGTTGCCGCTTCCGGCAGAGAGACTTCAAGAGATTGAAAGAATGGCAAATGTCGCACGGCGGGCCTTGGGCGGAGTGGAAGCACCTGCACCAGTCATCAGCTCGGACCTGCAAGCTCTTAACGCGGCCGAAGGAAATCCTCAGACCGGGCCAAAGAAGATTCGGCGAAGTGATGAACATGTTGCTGTCGAACAAGATGATGAATTTATGCCCGGTCGACATCGTGACCGCCGGAAACACACCACAGATGGAGCGCATCGACCGCCGCCTGACGCAGAGATTACCAGGCGGCAAACCCGGATGCAAAAATCCCACTATGAAGAGCCATCAGAGGATGAGTTCAACGAGGTTGTCTCTGAGCCTGCCTCTGAGCACCGCAAATCCACGAACACACCGACAATGAACGTGGTGAGGTTGGAGGATGCCGAGTCAGACTTTGATTCTTCCATGTCCTTGGACAACGAATCTCCAGAGAATCCGAGCTCTGCCTCGAGCCCACCGGCTGAAGTTGCAGCGAGCGGTCCCAAGCCAGCACCACTAACGGCCACGAAAGCGCCCAAACTGACTGTGGTGCAAAGTGTCTATAGAACCGCGGCGACAAACTCCCCAGACGAGCGAAGTGAGAGATCGGACTTTGTATACTCACCAGCACCGCCTCCAACGAAAACGACTGTTACTAAATCAACGTTAGCTACTTCGAACCTAGATCACGCAAGGGCTGCAGCTGAAGCGCAAGCGAATCGACGGGCAAAAATGGCCGCCATCGAGTGGATGGAGAACGAGAGCGAAGACCTGGACGATGTTTGGTCTCGAGGGTCGTTCTTAGAGGACGATTCCTTGGGCAGTAAGGCCACTCCTCCAGCTCAGGTAGAAGCGGTCACTGCCAGAGATGAAGAGATAGAAGAGGAAGAAGCTGTTCCACCTCCTTTACCACCTTCACCTTCCAAGCCCGTCACGAATAACAAAAAACAGGCGGGAAGACCTCCGGCTGCCCCAGCTGCACCGAAACGCGTAATAGCACCGACTGTGAAAGCGTTGGCTTCGGAGTGGGCGGATAGTGATGATTCGGATGATGGCGCACCACTTCGTGGACCAGGCGGTCCAGGCGGTCCAGGCGGTGCTTGGACTTCCGTTAATCACGGCCCTGCACGCGCCAGTCAAGTGGTGGCTCCGAAGAGGAGAGGGAGGCCACCAAAACGTCGTTAGAAGCTTGGAGTGTGCAGAAGACGGGATAATGTACAAAATGAGCCATTTTGTCGGAAGCCGGAGAGTCTGTTATTGGGGCTACAGAGTGTTGGCTGTGTTCTTGGGAACTGTCATGAACCACGAGAGTCACGTTTTGGAGTGGGAGCAGCTCGAGTACTTGACAAGTTGAATTGTTCAATGTGCATGATACATAGGGTGGACCTTGAGCTCGGAGTACAAGCCAATGGATTGGCCCTGATGTGTTTTATGGTGATGTGAAGGAGCTGTATACAAAGACATGAAGGAAATATGTTCAGACATTATTGTCGCCTGAGAGTAGCTGGCATAGATGCATTTTCCGCTGAGGCTGCAGCTTGCCCCCCTTTTTGCCTTGGACGAGGCTGACGCCCGGAAGGTTCGTTCGGGTTCCGACTCCGATGGTGGTGAAATGACATCGCAGGCACCGCAGTTTTGATGGCATTTTCCCCCCTACAAATCCCGCAGCCCCCCCAACCCCAACACCTTTACAAACATTTGATGCTCTGTCAAACTGGTGTTCTCTAAAGGCCAAAAACGTCAAGGCAATGGAGGGGGTGCGCGTTTTCCAGCGCAATGTTGGTTTGAGACAGCTCTTCTCTCAGACTCGAGCGCCCCTACAGCAATCGTTCCGCACCAGACCGTCTCTTCTATACCCTCACCGAGCTCTTTTGAAGCGGTCCATACACAGCCAGCGACCTACGAGCACCTCGTCGCCCTCCCCCTTCCGATCATTCCGACCACAAACCCAACGACTACCGCGGCGGAACAACAATGCCACAGGCCGCCGCTACAACTCGAGCACCACTAGTTCCGCCACGTCCGCCAAACCCTCTATCAAGGAACGCCTGAAGACCATGTCGCGCGAGTACGGCTGGACGGCCGTGGGCGTCTACCTGGCGCTCTCGGCGCTCGACTTCCCCTTCTGCTTTTTGGCGGTCCGCATGATGGGCACCGAGACGATCGGGCACTACGAGCACGTCGTGGTCGAGACGTTCAAGTCCATCGTCAAGTGGCCGATCCAGGGGTCCGCGAAGGCCGAGATGGCGGCCGACGGGGTTTCTGGGGAAGCCGGTGTGAGCCAGGTCGAGCAGGCCGGTGGCAGGGTGCTGGAAGAGGAGACCAACGACCACGGCTACAAAGCTGCGGAGAAGGCAAATCGAGGGGACAATGCTAGTATGTGCTTCCAACCCTCCATCCTTTTCTGCCCTTTTCCTATATTTCTCTGGGTCCGTGTTGGGTGTCTGGGGAGTATACACCTCATCTGCGCAGAGGCAGACCGGGACGAGAGAAAAAAAAGCTAACAATATCCGTGTTTTCTTTTTGCTCTAGGTATCTGGACCCAACTTGCCCTCGCGTACGCCGTGCACAAATCCTTCATCTTCATCCGCGTCCCTCTCACTGCCGCGGTCCTGCCGAAAGTCGTCAAGACGCTGAGGTCGTGGGGCTATAACATTGGCAAGATACCGCAGCGGAAAGCCGTCGGCGCTGGCACAACGGGCATAAACACCCAGGGATCAAAGATCAAACCAGGCGACTGAAAAAAAGTGTTTCTCTTTAGCCCTTTTCACGTTTTGGCAGGAAATGATGTCAAGTCCCTCACTCTTCTCATTTATTTTCTGTCTGGGCCACCGTTTCGACAATGGACAGTGGGCGTGGGCGTGGGCGGGCTTTTTGCTTACTCGCCGTCTCCAGCACAAGGGCACAGGGTATTATTATAATAATACAATGTACAACAAAATTTCGCCTTTTTTAGATTCTACCTCTTTTTTTTGGTCTCTCCCAGCCTTTGCTCGTTCTCCAAAAGAAAACTAGTCAAACCGCTGTCCCTCCAAGGGATCCCTCGTCCCCTCCTTGTCGAGCAACTGCACCACGGTCCCATCCTCGGTCTGCAGACTCCACTCAAGAGTCTCGAAAAACCCGCCGCGGCTGTTGCGTCGGAGACTGACGAACTTGGTCTTTGCCATGCCTCGCGTCCCCTTGACCCAGAAGCTGATGTCGATGGTGCCCTGCATGGGCGACAGCTCGCCGCTGATCCAGGGCACCTTGCTGGCAAAGTAGATTTCGTCGCCGAGCAGCTCGCGCGCGTGGCGGTTGGTGCGCAGGGCGTACAGGATCGAGTTGACGGTCGAGGACGACGACTTTTCGTAGTTGAAGATGGCCAGCGACGCGAGCGTCACCAGCACGATGAACACGGGAAGGGTCTTGAGCCAGATCGAAATCGGGCGCGGGAGGTCCGGTAGTGCGCGGTCCGGGCGCCGCGAGAGTAGAGGTCCTGACCCTTCGCGCGGGGGAGGGACGAGTGGGCGCGCGATTCGGTCGTCGACCGTGGCGGAGGCGGAGATGTGTTGTGGGGAGGAGGACGAGGAGGTTGAGGACGACGATGATGAGGCGCGGAATATGTTCAGTCTCGGGGCACGGATCGAGAAGGGGTCGTGCTGGTGATGCGCCCGCAATATCGTCCGGCGGAGAGACAGGGAGAGCGGGAGTGTCTGGAGCTGGGAGAAGCTGTAGGCGGTAGGGAGGAGCTTGTTCGCACCCATGGTGGCGGTCGGGGGAGTTTGCTGTCAGTCAGGCTCGATAGTTTGTTTGTGTGTGCCTCTTTCTTACAAGGCCTGCTGGAGCAACGCGGATAGACTGGGAGTATACTCAGTAGCGCAGCTGGCTGGACATCGAGGTTCATGAGATGGAAAAACCTAGTAATTGCCATATGCGGAAGGATTCTGGGGGCAGCAAAGGCCGCTTTAAGCCCGAGCCTAGAAAGCTAAATTACTATGTACCAGGCACCCAGGCTACCAGGAGCTGTAGTTGAGCCAACAAGCCACTCTCCTCCGTACATACATACGTGGTACATCTCTCCTACTGAAGAGGATGCATTTTTCTCCTTGTGAAATGAAACATCCAGCCTCGAATAATATCACGAGGCTTCTTCGAGCCATGGCCACAAGTGGTTTTAAGCCCTGGCTACAAATGGCGACTGACATCCCATGCACTATGGTTTTCCCATCCCATGGCTAGGACATGACACATGTCAGGCTATGTACTACATAATCCTGGCAGGCCGCCGAGTGGGCACCTCCAGCCGTGACCAGCGGGAGGAAGCCACTCGGCCCTCCTTGAACACGGCCAGCAGGTGTTTCTCAGGCTGGTCGAGAACGGTGATGTCCTCCAACGGGTTGGCGTTCAAGATCAACAAGTCCGCCACGAACCCCGGCGCCACCCTCCCAAGAGAATCCTGTCGGCGCATCATCCGGGCCGCGTTGATTGTGGCACTCTGGATGATTTCCAAGGGTGACTGCACTTGTCGCCGCAGCTCAAACTCCTTGGTCTGTGCAAAGTGCAGGGGTCCCAGGAGGTCGGTCCCGAAGCAGACAGTGACGCCTGCTTCCCTGGCTAGCTCGATAGCCCTGAGCCCGGATTCGAGGGTGTCCTTGAGCTTGGCTATCGACTCGGGGCTCACGAAGCTGCCAAACTCGGGCAGCGATGCTGCGGCATATGCCACCAGAGTAGGTGTTAGATAAACCCCTTTCTGGGCCATGAGCTCTGCGGTCGCTTTGTCGAGGAAGTTGCCGTGCTCGATCCCGAGGACACCACAGTTGACCGCTTGCCGTATCACTGCCGGAGTGTATGCGTGCGCCGTGGCGAACGTCCCGGCATTGGAGGCCACGGTGGTGATGGTCTTGATTTCATCCTCGGTGAATTCCATGTCGCCCAGACCTCCGCGTGGGCTCGAGACTCCTCCTCCAGCCATGATCTTGATGAAGTCGGAGCCCAGCCGTAGTTCTTCTCGGGTGAACTTCAAACACTCGGGCACGCCGTCCACGATCCGACAGGACAGCTGTTTGGCGCCGCCACCGCCGCAACAGTCGCCGTCGTCGAAAGCAGATCGCCTGTCGCCGCAGCCCCCGGATTGCGATAGCTGACGCCCTGCGATGAAAAGCCGGGGACCAGGATGGATGCCTTCTTCAAACGCCACTTTCAGCGGTAACAGCGCGCCGCCACAGTCTCGCACCGTGGTGAAGCCCCGGTCGAGCATCGCTTGGCCGATCTCCGGCTGGCGAAGGAGGGACGTGTCCGGGGAGAGATTCAAGATATCGTCAAAGCTGCTGAAGCCCTGCACTGCCGCCAGGTGCACATGGCAGTCCCAGAGACCTGGTAGGATGTATTTGCCCTCGAGGTCGACGCACGAGGTGTCTCCTCCGTCGTCAGTCGTATTCCTCCCACCGTCGTCCCCAACATATTGGACGAAACCTCCTCCCAAGTCGACGGTGGCGTTGTGCCGTACACTCCCGTCGACGGGATCAATGACACGGGCGTTGGTGAGAATATATGTTTTTTGGCGTGGCAGTTTCCACGGCGTCGTCACAGCATCAACATCTATCGGGGGATCGAACTCGAGGGGAGGTATCGCCATGCTCAGGGCATAGTACTTTATTCTTTTCTCTGGCGTCTCAGGTTTGAGTTTCTTGTAGCGAATCAATCCAGATCCAGATCCAGATTCACAGAAATTGTTATACAAAAAACACCTCGAGCACCATTAAATCATGTAAACACGGGGTCATTTATCTCTCTTATATCACCCAACCCAAGCATCCGGGTGATAGATAGCCAGGCAGGCAGACACTCAACTCGCCCACCCGCCAACATCCCAGTCGCCACTTGTGGAATCCCGTTTTACTTTACTCGTTCATCAATTTCTGTTGCAATGTACAAATGCTGACCTGTCCTCTTCTCTTCTCTGCCTGCCCTGACCTGCCCTGACCTGACCAGGTCTGGCCTAGCCTATCAGGAGGATCTGCTTTTTTTTTCGCTGTGGCCTTCTCGACTTGGACACTGGATGGCATGGATAAAATGGATAAAAGTGGGGCCCTCGTATGTACATCATGTACATCCTTGTACCCTTGATACCAACCCTGGACATGACCTGGAGGCCCGAAGGGGGGTGGTCAATCAGATCAGAGACTTTCCTACCTCGTCTCGTCTCGGTAAAGCTCTATGACTATGTACCGAGTACTACATACCTAGGCGATTACGAGGTATTATCCAGTGCCGCATCCTCAGTGAATTCGTACTCGTACTTGGGGTATATACTCACCTTTGGTTCATGGTGATGGTCAATACTAGGTCAGCTGGGGGATCAGTGATGTTTGCCAGCTGGCCAGGATAGATCAGACCAGATCAGATCTGACTTGACTTGACCAGACAGGGAGGGAAGGATACATACCAGGGTTACACTAGCCTGGCAAACCGGGTACATATCCTACAATCGCTTCATGACTTGACCAAAAGGCACGAGATACAAGGATAGTACGAGGTACTTATGTTTGGCCTTGGAACCGACTTGCGCTCGTTGGTAAGAGCGTCTCAAAGCAGCAGAATCTCCACGTCCAAGTTCCTCAACACCTCGCGCCAATTCACGAAGACGATGCCAGCATCGCATCCTCGTCGTGCCGCGACTTCTTCGCGTTCACTCCAGATTCGCTTCACGACCTGGTGGATCAACGCACGGTTGGCGACCCCGAAGCCCGTCGAGAGGCTCAGGACGCCGTCGGCCAGTGTCTGCGCCTCCGTCGTGTAGGCTTCGGCGGCGGCGACGAAGATGGACCAGATGGAGACGGCAGCGCGGTTCATTTCGAGCAGCGATGCCGCTGCAGACAGGGTCTGGGACACCTGGTCCGTGACCGCCGAGGGAGGATGGTGCAGGACCACGCAGAGCAGGTAGATGGTCACGGCTGAATTGAACAGGTAAAGGTTCGACACGATGAACTTGCGCTGTTCTGCGCGGTCCTGCACCGCCCGCTGTCTGCTCATGTAGAGCTCGACCTCTGCGTCGAGCGCGACGAGGATACTACTCGCCTGGGCCAGTTCATCCTCGGACAGATCTGGCTGTCGGCCGCTCCTGGAGGCGCCTCTCACCGCCAGCTGTCCCTCGAGGAGACGGGCTTCATACAACGCGTTCATCAGCCGCGGCGTACTGCCGAGCGTATATGCGAATCGAGGGTCGGCCGTGACGTCTTCCAGGACCTCATGAAGCGTTCTATCCGTACTGGGAGTGTCGCCACCGACGATTTGAGACATGAGCGTGTGCAGAACAAAGCTCTGTGTGATCACCCACGCCTCGTCCGAAGTAACCCATGGCTTTTGCCTCAAAAAACTGCGCGACGTATCGAATTGAACCTTGGAGATGGTGCTTCAAGCCTTTGGACTGGCCGTGAAAGACATGCTCAGCGAGCGTGACGGTCAGAATTGCCGCCAGCGTACTGCTAATGTCCTCTGTCGGACGACCGAGGCTGCAGCGAAGGTGGCGCAACGCAATGCCAAAGTGCTGCGTCGCCAACCTGCGATAGCTGGCAGGGTTGGGCCCATTGAGGTTGGACAGGTGAAATGCCGACTGTGCGAGGATCCCGTGGAAGAGGGATCCGGTGCTGTTCGAAGTCACGTCGTGCACTGCGAGGCACGGGTATGTTGACTTCCAGGGGTTATAGTCGTCGTTGAAGGGCGTCATCATCACGGACACATTGGAGATGTAGTGGTGGAAGAGCTTGTTGTCTTCGCGTGATCCATCAGGGATCAGAGAAGTGGACAACGCTGCCGGTATGGAAACCGTGGACGATCCAAGATCCGCATGCTTGCCGTTGCCTCTTGCTTGTGGTGAAGGGGCTGTGATCACTGATGGTCCAGTAAGCGGGGCTTTTCAAGCATTCTACATCCTCTTCTCGAGGTCGAGGCGCTGTCTCCCGGGACCACCGGGGCGGCCGAAGTGTCAAGGCCTTCGTAGCTCGAAAACGTAACGAATGGGCTGCGATGACGGTGTAAGACACATCGACACCTCTTCTTCTCTGCGTGTCTAATCAGATGCTCGACCTCTTTCAGTGTCTAGATCGGATATCCATCCCAGGTCAATTCACAGGGATAGGCACGCCGCTGCTGTGGCTCGTATTCCCCAGACTCGGCGTCAACCCACACGAGTCGGATGTCGTAGCCCTCACAGGTCAGACGTAAGCGAAGGCACTGCGTACACTGGGGGACGAGATTGTCGCAACGGACACCTCGGCGGCGGCAGGTCCAACAAGCCGTAAAAGTCCGCTGGGAGGTGACTTTGGGCATCTCTTAAGTGGCCATTGGGTAGGGATAGATGGGGAGGTGGACTACCGCTTTCATCGGCGTGAGGATTGGAGGAGAAAGGAAGGCCAGGACGAGAAGAATGTGTCTCGTGGGTCAGAATCTTGTACGAAGTGTTGAAAGGGTCATTTTGGGACGTCGATGATGAATGATTTGCCTGGTCTTGAAGAGGAAGTCTATAATAACGAAATCTTCTTCCCCACTTCATCATCAAGCATGATGGGCCTGTCAGCCTCGAGGATTTCTATTTGGTCACTTTGATACTGCCTGGCCGGACTAACCAGGCCTGGCCATCTGACTTGCTTGCTCTCGTAGAGACCAGGCACCCAGAGAATGTACCTCATCACACACTACACGATTTATTCGGCTTCTTCTCCACGGTTACAACAGTTCTGTAGAATTGTTCTTCATTCTTCTTGGAGACATGCTCAGCATGTGCACTATCTTCTCCTTCCGGCTTATCGCTTTATTCTCAATATCCTGGCCGACTGACGCAGCTATTGTCCTTGTTCCTGGTGACGCCTCCTTACTCAACAACTTTGCATCTCTTCTGTCCAGCAACAACATTCAAAGTCTGCGCCAATACTGAGTTACCATAGGATCCACTCACAGTCGGATGAAGTCGGCCTGCTGACTGAATAGTCGATCTTCATCTATGGGACCCATCTCGTTGTCATGATCATGAGGAGTCACGGGAGTGACGGTACACTGTCCTCCAAGGGTCTTGTCCGTTTGGGATTCCACGAGAGTCGAGGGTTTCCGGCTGCTGGAACTGCCTAATGACTGTTCGCCATTCCCACCTTCTGCTTGGGCAACATGAGGATGCGGGCATCTGACGTTGCGACAGATGCCAGATCTAGCTTGATCACGACACTGACGGAGATGCCGACAAGGACAACTTCCACCTCGCTCGCAGTAGCCAGAAGAGGCAAAGTCCGAACAAGGTGCTGCCCAAGGCTCTATCGGTGCATGGGAATAGGGACAAGGGGATCGATTGCATCTTCCAGCAAGGAAGTATTTGCACGTCGGGGAGGTGTTATGGGTGGGAACATGACTGAGATTACAGTTGATGCCTCGAGAACATCTTTGATTGTAAAGGACAGAGGGGCATAATGCAACCTTCATGGGGTCGTGGAAATGGAAACAGTTCGTGCCACGTGCGCAGTACCCTACATGGACAGGATTAGTATCTCAAGTTTCAAGACCCGGCTTACTGAATGGACTCTTGTACCACGGAGACTGTATTGTGGGCATTGCCTATTTTGAACGGTCGGGCTATTTCTTGTTGTCAGCCTTGAGCGCCTCCCAAGGGCGAGACAGAGGAGGTGGAATTTGCGCATGAGCTATACAAACCGAAATGTATCGTTGAACTTCTGCTGCTCAGTGTGCAGTGGTGAGTGCCGGTTGGACGTTGTTATGTAACAATGTTCAGGAGTCTGCGCTTTGATGCTAACTGCCGGAGACTGATCGGACGCTTGGAGGGACTGAAGAGGTGGCTGGTAGGGTTCATTTCGCTCTCCAAGATCGGTACTGCAACTGATCATCAAGTCCTCCGAAGGGATTGTACTGACTTCACCGTCCCCAACGGACAGATCTGCAAGACTTGAGAGGGCTCAATTAGATGGGGGATCATTGACATACATTCACTCTCTTCGGAGACCTGCGTCTGCCGATCTATCTCGGGAGTTGTGAGCTTCACATCAGAGCCGAGCATCGAGGACAATGAGTCAACCTCAACAGTCATGATTTCGGAATCGACATCCATGATCTTCTGTGTCGACTGTTTGGGTGCTAACCAGTTCTGGATCCGGATCTGGTGCCATTGCAGAGCCTGCTTCAAAGCGCTAGAGGTTTTCTGTCTGACAGCAGCTATGAATGTCGGCCTTGGATATGGGGAGTATCGCATTGATTGGATCAGAGGCGCCTTAATCTTTGCAGGGTCACTGTTGCTCTGAGGAAGGGAAAGGTACGTTTGAGAAGCAACATCGCGGTTTTCTGGCGGATCTGTACAATCTTGTCAGCGTCTTGACGGGCAGTGTACGCTGTTCTTGATGTACTTTTGGAATGCTTTGTTGAGGGCTCCATGGCAGTTTCACTCATGGTCTCCACACGAATGAAGAGCCAGTGAGAGATTTGTACTCTAATTTGTCATGAAACACGACGTCTAGAAGAGGAATAAAAGCCACAGGATCAAAGAAAACCTCCCTGTGAGGGTGCAGTGAATGGGAAAGGATCTTAGCACAAGCATGAAGCCTCTCGAAATGGGCAAGGCTTACAAGGCTACGCTTGTCTCCTTTAGTCGAAGAGTCCCTTGGCAGGCATGTTTGCCGATTGGTCGGCCTTCCTCCACCTACGCTTGTGAAATAATTTGGATCAGAGCTCCGAGACAGTTCTGTGTCCAAGTGGCTTGATACACCAATGCCAGAAGACAATGAACTGATCTAGGGAGAACGTACATCGGATTGCGTTCTATATCACTTTCCAAAATGCTCCAACCGCGAATACCTTTCCGCGCGCTGCGCAGGAAATGTCAGCTGCCGTCACCCGGCTTTCGCAGGACCTACGCTCAGGTACAAGGCATCGACCCTGTGCAGTCGAGCGGGTCGGTCACAGAGACCACCGTCACAGATCTTCCTCTTGCTCAAGCCGATGATCGAACCTCACTGTCCAAATTCGAAGTTCGGCTGCGACGTTATACTCCTCGAACACCAGGTATTCGACATCTGGTCCGCCCATTGAACGAACATCTATGGAAAGGTCGACCACACTTCCCTCTCACATTTCCCAAAAAGGGCCATGGCAAAGGTGGCCGAAATCATACTGGACATGTCGTGGTGCGGCATCGTGGAGGTGGACATAAGAGAAGGATACGAATTGTTGATTTTGCAAGACACACTGGGGGAAAGCATCTGGTAGAGCGAATCGAGCACGACCCAGGTCGCACTGCTCATATCGCTCTCGTGAAGAATCTCCAGACCGAAGAAAGGAGTTACATACTAGCGGCCGAAGGTTTACGAGCTGGGGACACGGTGGAGAGCTACCGATCAGGTCTACCACAGTCACTGATTGACGAAATGGGCGGACATATCGACCAGGGTGTCCTGGCGTCCAAAACAGCACATCGGGGCAATTGTCTGCAGTTGGGCATGATCCCTGTTGGCACCCCCATATTCAACATTACTCCGACAAAAGGCGACATTGGCAAGATCTGCCGAAGTGCTGGGACACATGGAATCATCATCGGGAAAGGGGAAGACACGGTGCAGAAAGAGATGATGAAGTTGATTGGTGACAACGGCGACATGGATCTGTCTACTCTAAGCACGGAGCAATTGAGAAAATTCGAGAAGGCGGCCAACTATGTTACCGTGCGCCTGTCCAGTGGCGAGGTCCGACTCATCGACAAAGACGCTGTGGCAACCATTGGCGTTGCAAGCAATGTCAACTTCAAATACACCTCTCTGGGCAAGGCGGGTCGGTCGCGCTGGCTCAATATTCGACCGACTGTGAGAGGCGTGGCCATGAACGCAGCAGACCATCCGCACGGTGGTGGTCGAGGTAAATCCAAGGGTAACCGCATCCCGGTGAGCCCTTGGGGAATTCCAGTAAGTGCCCTTCTGCTGCTGTTGTTAACTATTCTAACCCGTCATCAGGCGAAATCCGGCTTCAAGACACGCGACAGACACAAAATCAATCCTCTCGTTGTTACCCAGCGTCCCAGGAACCAGGGACGACGCAGAAGAGGTTATGCATAGATCAGGACATGTATCAATATTGCTGGCATTGACGCACTGTAAAAACTCCTGTCTCGGACACTGGCTCGTCTTGTCTGGTGGTTTAGGAATCATGGTAGTGAGGGGCGCAGACTCCGACTTTGCAGAATCATTTCTGTTCATCTCTCTCAAACTCAAACCGTAGGAGGATTCTTTAATGGTTACTGTACGTCTTACTCTGTACCAAGTGCACTGGGGAGCCTGGGAGCCCACTGCCCAGACGTCCAAGTTCCGCTCCTGCCAAGGCCTACTCGCCCCGGCTGGCCTCCGGGGATCCACTACAAGCCCTACGGAGAACCTACCTAGGCATCTAGGCACCTAGACTCGCAGACTCACTAGCTAGCTTTACCTACGAGAACTCCCCATGCCCCCCATTGCCCCCCGATTCTTAGTCATCTCCAATTTGTCCCGACACCACCAAGTTCCTTTCCATGGAGAAGCGCTACTAGTTCTTGGTGAATGGCGATCCCCTTCTCGTCGAACCTCCACGCGACGGCGAGGTTCACTTCGGCTCAAGTGTTGTTCTCCTTGTTACCAGCTTAGTTCATGGCCTCACTACAAATCACACTCCGTATTTACATGATCTATATATCTCTCTGCGCAGAAATGGACAGTTAGTTATGGACACGGAAACAGAATGGCCACAACATCTCTCGTCGACTTCAGGTGCAAAGCGTCGATCTCGGGTTCAATCAGCTTGCCAAAGATGTCGCCGACAGAAACTCAAGGTGAGTCAGCCCTGTGCTATCCATTATGCATACATGTTGATGTCGATGCGCAGTGTGATCAAGAGCGCCCTTGTTCATTGTGCCTGAGGTCCGAGGTTCCTTGTATTTCGGAGTCCAGACCAAGGTTAGTCGTCGCCCTTGTCGCTCTACGAGCATTCCAACGAGATTATCTTGTCGTGAGCTGAGGAAGAATTACTCCAAGTTAGGCGCAAGAAGTCAAGGCTCCATTCCCCTGAACCAGATACTGGCCAGAGCGAGAACCAGAATGGAATTGTCCCTCCAGGTCTACATCACGCCACGAGTTCCTCCCCGCAACCACGATACAGCCATGGAGACGATCGAGAAACCAGTTCTACTCCTGGCCAGCAAACGAATAGTCCAGCGAAGGTCAAGGGACCCGTCAGCCTCGATCGACTCTCGGCGACAGATCCTGAAGCCTACAATCAGAGGATCTCATCGGCGGGATTGACACAGGAGGTGAGTCTGCCGGAATACGTGTTGGTCATGTCACTGATAGGAAACCCAGATCATTGACAACTTCAGCCCCGAGATTGTCCTTGAGAGCTCCACCTCCGCCCTCCCTGGGGGCTTGGGAGGTTCTCAGGGGGTGTTCGGAACATCTCAGGATGATATCACGATGGAACAGCTGCTCGGCCTTGAATTACCTTCCAAACGCGTGACAGACTATTTCCTAAACACCTATCTCGATGCTGTACATTGGTTTATGATGCTTTTCCATGAGCCAACATTTCGATCGTCATATGAGAGGCTGATGGCGACAAGGAGATTTTCGCGGTCTAGGTCAAATCAGGTCATCTTTATACTTCTGGTACTATCCATGGGCGCACATTACGCCTCGGAGGACGACGTCCGACAGAGGTTCCCTACCTTCCAGTTGCAGACGTTTCGAAAGCTCTCTCTCAAAAAGGTCGAAGACAGCATGCATGCCTTGTACGACGCAGCGGATCTCGAGTCTGTCCAAGTGTGTGTTCTTCTTGGGTCATATTACGTCTATTACGGCCACCCCAACCTTGCATTTGTTGTTCTAGGGGCTGGACTCAGATGCGCCCAACTCATGCTGCTGCACAGAGAATCAGCATGGCGAGGCTTGTCAGAGATTGCGAAAGAAGAGCGCAGACGAGTCTTTTGGGCTCTTTTTATCTTCGACCGGTAAGTAGAGGAGCTGACCAGGCCGCACCTCTTCTGATTCGGATTGTAGGTTTGCGGCAACAATGTTTGGTCGGCCATGTGGCCTTTCCATGGACGAAATCGACATCAAGATCCCCGAGAATATCGGCGACACTACCGTGCAGCATCCCTCCTTTCGCTCCACTGCGACCATGCCGGACGGGACCGTGGAACCAGTCACGACATTTGCCTACTTGAAGTACAAGATCAAGTTGTATCAGATATCTTCGCCTATTATTGGTGACTTATACTTCCATCGAAGTCGAAGTGTATCTGAGTTGGCACTCAAGGTCTATCGCATTGACAAGGAGCTGTCCGACTTCTTCAGCTCACTGCCGCCGGAGCTGAAGTTGGAGGATCTGTGTCGAAACCCTGCGGAACCTGTAACAGCAAATTCCAGGCCCTTTATACTACAAGCTTTGGCTCTTCAGATTGCGTACGATAATGTACAGATACTTCTACATCGCCCCTTACTCTCACAAGATCTGCGAAACTTCAAGACAGACGCTGGAACAGCTGGGTCCCAGAGTTCGACATACTCCTCCGGACAGATCGACTTTACCAATGACAACAAGCTGTCACATCGACATGTACATGAAATCCTACTGGCAAGTCGAGATAAATGTTGGGAATCCGCCATCAGATCTTCTAAACTGGGCGACTACCGCCAATGTTTGGTCTCTGCACGGGAAAGCCACGCCGCAGCATTTCTCGGGATCAATCTTTTCACAGCGGGCATGGTCCTTTGCATCGTAGCTCTCTCACGGCCTCTGTCCTCGGAAGCGCAAATGGCTAAACAGGCCGTTGCTCGGATCATGTCCCTCTCACGGTTCTTGTCTGACAGAGCCCTCCTCTCGGCGCAAACATCAAAGATCTTGAAGGATCTTATTCGACTCATTGGGGAGAAAGAGATCAAAGCGATGCTTTCGGAATCGGACAACTCCCAAAATATGACCTCCTTATCAGGGACAAGAGTCAGGGATGCGGTAGGCTCCTCTGCCGCCACACCTGGTCCAGCTTTTGGCGATCCGCAGTATTCTGAGGACGTGACGGCAAATCCCGCCACGACAAGGACAGAGGACGAATCTGTTCCTTTTACAATGAACCAAGTCCAGACCTCCATCGGCGACTTCGACTTCTCGGGCTTCGAGAATATAGATTTCAACAATGGTTTATTGATTATGCAGCAAGGTAAGAACCATCGTTCAGGTCGTTCTGTCGTGTGTCTTTGTAGCTAACAGATGTTGACAGCGATGTTCCCGGAGGTGTCTGAGACAGATATGGAGAGGTCAAATGGTGATGGAATAAACCAGAACGTGGCTCCATACGGCGCCGACAATTCCTATGTCAACCAAACAGGCGGCAGCGACATGGGGCTGTTGGGTCCTGATCTCAGCGTGGTGAATACCGTCGGGCAAACCTGGCTCTGGGATTCTGCTACATGGTGATCGGTTTATAGCCACGGGCACAGTTTTTCGTCCTGGTCGGCCCGAAAAGAGAGTTGAGTGCTTCAAGTAAATAGGCAGGCGATGGAAGCCCAATAATTCAAGACGAAATGTAAAGTGTCTTGATGGAGCAGGACCGAAACGAGTGGAGAGTCCCGCATATTGCAGTACCTCATATGGACCCCAGGCCACATTCCACCAAAGTCGTATTTTACCCTCTGTATGTAGAGGAATCTGATTACTTGGTTCGGGCGTTCTCAAAAGCGTTGAGCCTTGCCATGCCACAAGGCTGTGCTCTTTCGGGAAACCTTCCCTCTTACAAAGTGGTGTCCAAACATTTCAAAAAAGTTTTGTGGTTTGGGGAGAAAGTTGCTGAATCTCCAAAGCCTTGGAGGTTGTGCTGGGAAAATCTCTCGTTGACTAAGACCACCTCTACTAGTACTGCCCGCGACAGAGATAGAAATCCAAGATGGCCAAAACCAAGACGAAAGCAGGCTCGAAACAACGAGATATCCTCCGCTCAACGACCTCTCCGCTCGTGAAAGGCGTTCCGAAAAAGTCGCAGAAATCGATCGAAGACCTCCTCACCGAGGCTGCCGAACTCCTTGAACAGGCTCAACCCGAACTTGCGCTGCCGCTTGCCGAAGAGGCCCTGAAGAGACTCGAAACCGAGCGACAGGAACAGCATGCTCCGAAGGAGGACGAGATCGAGATCGACGACCTGTTGTCCTTGGCTGCGCAGGGAATACCCACGCTGCCGTCCGTTCTGACCCTGAACGCCGAAATCCAAGTTGCATTGGGAGATGTCGAGTCGGCACGACGAAACTTTTTACGCGCGACTCGGATCGACAAAGACGGGGCACTGATATCGGCGGAACCGTGGCTTTGGCTCGCGCAGCTGTGTGAAGAAGGTGGGGCAGAGAGTATCAGGTACTTTGAGCAGGCGTGCGAGGTGCTCAGGAATGAGATCGAGGTGCTCGAGGAGGCGGTCAACGAGATGGACACCGGGTCGGACGGGGATGCGGGCGCGAAGAAGGTGCTCGACGAAAAGAAATCGAAGCTGGCAGACGCCCTCTGCGCCATGGCCGAGGTCTACATGACTGATCTGTCGTGGGAGAACGACGCCGAGTCGCGATGCGAGTCGCTCGTCACCGAAGCCGTGGCTGTGTGCCCGGAGTACCTGAGTGCCGGTGTGCTACAAACACTGGCGAGCGTGCGAATCAGTCAAGAACGGATAGAGGACGCCAGAACTGCCCTCAAGAGGAGTCTTGACATATGGAACGACACGCCGTCGGCCTCTGTACAAGATCCCACAAAGGACGAAGAAGCCAGCGCGGGCGAAGACGGCCGACGCCCCGACTTCGCCACCCGCGTCTCCCTCAGCCGCCTGCTCATGGAAGTGCAACTCGAACCCGTCGCCATGACCGTCCTCGAGGGCCTCGTCCGCGAGGACGACCAGAGCGTCGAATGCTGGTACCTCGGCGGATGGTGCCAGGTGCTCGTCTCCCAGAAAGGGGACACCCCCTCCGAAACGAAAGCCAAGTGCCTCGAGACCGCGAAGCAGTGGCTGGACAACTGCCTCCGGCTGTACCGCGTCCAGGGGTACGAGGACGAGCGGCTCCGAGAGCACGCGGTCGAGTTGGTTGACGGGTTGAAAAAGGAGTTGGGGCTCGAAGGTGAGATGGATGAGGATGACGGGGACTGGGAGGACGTGGATGACCAGGACGACGAGGAGGAGGCAGAGGAAGATGGAGACCTTGAGATCGAAGCCGATGGCGACGTCGACGCCGAGGACGATGCTGCTCGTCGTCATCCTGGAGCGAGTGCCAAAGCCACAGCCAAGGATGAGGACATCGAGATGACCTGATCTGATCAGCTAGTAGCTATCCTTCTTGCCGCACACCTCGTGGGATTTCAATGCTTCGGACATGACAACGACGACCAAAACGGGGAATATAGAGACTCGCTACCGACTACCAAAAATAACTCTCATGCGAATGGCACGACACGACATAGAGGAATGAATAAATACAAAGTGGCAATCGCCTGCCTGCTGTCATGGTCGAACGATCTGGAAGTGCAAAGCTGTATTCTGTCTATTACACTAATGAATTATTAAGCCGCTTTCTCTGCCTTGATGTGATGACTGACTGCTACCTACCATCGTCCCGAGTCTAGTCGATGGCGTACCTCGTATATACATCATACATCATAAAAGACCGTCTCGAAAAACCCGGGCAAAGGTCTCTCGTGGCGTCTCCGGCTTCCAGTCAAAGAGCTCGTGATCCAACTCGCCCACACCGTCCGCGACACCATATCCGCTGGCCAACAAGGGCTTGATGCTATACATCATCTCGGACAAGTCGTCTTCGTCCACCCTGGCTTGCTCTTCGAGTTCCTTGGCCTCAGAGACGTCCATCCAGGTGATTTGGTACTTGACCCCTCTGACCTGCTCCAGTTCGCCGATCAAGTCTTCGATCTTGCCCGTCCACCCTTGTATCCGCAGTGTGCGACCTGGAACCCCTTCAAATGGAATCCGTAGTGAATCAATGGTATACCGTGCGATATCGGGGATGCTTGTGACACCGATCCTGTTCCCAGGCTGCCCATACACTCGTGCCGTGAGTTTCTGATGGTCAAATCCATAGAACTCGTCGAGCGCCCATTCTGTGAAGATGCCAGTGACCATGAGGGTGTATTGAAAACCGGGTGCTTGAGCGGCTTTAGCACGCAGATAGGCCCTGACGGCTTGTTTGTCGCGGAAATAGCGCAGGGCTTGGATCTGTCGTTGTGCGATGTCGCTGTTCCATTCCGAGGCATACCAGTGCTTTACGCCCGCAGAGACGGCAGCATCAACCATGGCAGGTTGCAGGATCATCAGAGCGTTACCGACTGCCGATACGACGTGTGTGAAGCCTGTGCAAAAGAGTCAAGATGCAGTCGTGTGAGAGACGACTGGGTTGCTAGCCTGCGAACCTTGATATGATGCTGCTTCGTAGAATGAACCAACCACAACTTCCGCGCCAGATCCGCTGAATTTGCTGGCTCTTTCAGGGGTCGCGAGAATGGCGATGCGCTTGAACTGATGTCTCTGACGGATAAGCTCATCCAGGAGAGGTTTTCCAAGAGCGCCACTTGCGCCGATCAAGAGGACTGAAATATCTGCCATGTTTGACTTTGGTGTGACAGCAAGCGAGGAGTTAATAGGCTTGATATCCTCAGCTTGAACTGAAAAAGGACAAGGTGGAATGTCCTCGAGAAGGGCCGCTATTTGAACTTTTCATGGCTCCCACGGCAGGTTTGAGGCAGTAGATGTTAATCTCAAAAGTCAAAGCCGCCTCACGACGATTTGGTCATGCGAAAATAGCATTGGCCTCTTGTATGCTGAGTGATACAGGTGCGCGACTTGTGGCTGTATTTCGACCTGTTTTGGCGACGATTGGACCCGAGTCACGTTTCTTTCCCGATTCGGACATTGGTATATCGAATGACGGCATTGTTTGGAGGCCGTTCCAGACAGCAGGATGACTAATATCTTGTAGGAGCCGCCCTGCATTCAGGACCGATTGAGATAGAAGCTTGTCGCATGGTCATCCATTGCCGCGTCGAGTTCCACTGGAGCCACTCATCGTACCAAGACTCGGGCACAAAGAATTTTGGAGAGATTGATAAGCTCACTCCATCACCAGCGGCGTTGACATCCTCAGGGAAATCCAAATCCAAATGGTGAAACACAAGGTCTTCTTCAGAGAGCATAATCGCATCTGCAGCAGATGCGGCCAGGCCTAGCCGAATAAGCAGCCATCTCGGATAGCACGAAACTCATGGAGGAGGTTGGTCGATCAGTCTTCTTGCCACGCACTCTTTTTCACCACCTCTTGAGATCTAGAGTTTCCGATGCCCACCTTAACCTTCGACCAATCACGCTGCATGAGGTGATCGCCTTCTTTGGCGTCCTTTCTGTTCTTCTCCAGATAGAAACGGCCGCCTTCATAGCAACCCAAGTATAGACCGCTACCAAGAGATGTCCAAGTAGCTCGGAGGAGCGCACCCCGGAACAGCCCGCGGGTGCCCTCGGCCTTGAGAATTTCTCTAGCCACGATGAATGCGCTTTTACGTGATCCTTGAACGCCTGCCATGAGGAATTTGGACGTCTTGCCTTTGGATTCCATCCTCGGTACATCATCTCCGGATCCTGCAGCGAGCATGATTCTGGTCTTGACGACGTCGATCGGAGTTGTGATCCACGCAGCTCCGCTTCCGGCAATAGCGGCACTCATCGCAGTGATTCGCGCACGCTCAGCTATTCCCTCGACAGGTCTCCCGCCATTTCGATCCTTCCGCCGTTGCATGAAATATCCTTTCAGATACTCAAAGGTAGGAAATTGTAGTGCGGTGAATGGCAGATTTCTGGCGGCCAGCGCAGTATACCCCCTCCATAGTCTTGAAGGATTGTTTCTGAAATGCTTGAAGACTTCCCAGGAGGTCGATGTTCTCTTCCCTCGAGCACTAAGCATCTGAGCGTTTTGCTTGAGGACCTCCGCCGGGGTGAGGATGGCGCAGCTGACAAGCTCGGCACCACCACTCGCTGCAGCATGGATAGCAGGCTGGGGAAGGAATATTGTGGAGTTCGGAGGCACTGCTTCCGAGATACCGAACTTCAAAGCTTCGTAGGTTGTGAAGAATGCGCCAGACGAAGGAATGGTGATGAGGATGACGGAACCGACGCCTTGGTAGAGACCGCGGAATAGAGAAGGCTTCGTCTTGCCACTGGCATCTTTGTATAACTGTTCATAGTGTTGCGATTGAAGCCGTGTCTTGAGAGTGTCGAGAGGATAGACGAGCAAATCGACAGTGAACGCAGCAAATGCACCAGCCTATGCAGTATGTTAGGCAAAGGAAGAGAGCTGGAACTGCAGTCACTCACAAACCAGATGTCGGAATTGGTGTTATTAGACATGGAATACAAGCACAAGCACACAAGACCAGAAAGAGATCTATATACTCCGTCAAAGATTAGGGAAGAGAATGTGAACTGGACGATTGGCCAAAATTATTTACTTGGTGGACATCCATAAATTAATTGGAGAGACCATCATTGATCACTTCCCTCCGCAGAGCACGCTCCGACACAAGGCTGTCACTCAGCCTTGTCACTCAAGTTCTGCATCGGGTGCCCGCCATCACAACCAAGTATTAGTTGTTCCAACTAGCCTGTTGGCACTACATAGATCTCCAGCATCAATCGACTCTGTTATATAGTATTAATTTTGCCAAGGAAGACTCCAGCGCACAGATACAAAACGACGCCCGCATTCCACGTGACTCGGCACACTTTCCTTGTATATCACCACCACCGCCAAAATGTCCCTCCGCACAAAGACGGTGCCAACGGCGTGGACGGGTAGAACTCATCTCACACCCACCAACACAACACTGCCAGCAGTCATGGCGTCTGTTCTGGAGTACGTTCCCTGATGGCTTCGTCAATGTCCCGATCACTGACAATCATGCAGAAAAGAGACGCAGGTGAAGGCGGTCCAGCTTGAGGCACTGGTAAGTGCAATTCTTTTCATTCGCTCCTCACAAAGTTAGTGACGAGATGAAAAGGTCGTCATGAAAGTGATCAAACACTGCGCCAGTCGCTTCCCCACCATCGCAACCGGCTTCCTCGTCGGCATGGACAACAGCAGTGGCACTCTCGAAGTGACCAACTCTTTCCCCTTTCCCGTCGTCGATCTGCCGCCAGAGGCGCAATTCGACAATCAGACTCAACACTTCAACGCTGCTGCCTCCGCTCCTCGCGCAAAGGCCAACACTGCCTACCAAGCCGAGATGATCCGTATGCTACGTGAGGTCAATGTTGACGCGAACAATGTCGGGTGGTACACGAGCGCAAATTTAGGCAATTTCGTCAACGCGAACTTCATTGAGAATCAATATCACTACCAGAAAGAGTTGAATGAGAAGACCGTGGCACTGGTACATGATGTCAGTCGCAGCTCTCAAGGAATCCTGAGCATTCGCGCCTACCGACTGTCACCACAATTCATGACGGCGTACAAGGAGAACAAATTCACCACTGACAAGTAATACCCCACCCTTGCTTCTAATTTGGAGAGCTCTGGTGCTAACGATTGATGGACAGTCTTCTCAAGTCTGGTCTCAAATACTCAGATATCCTCGTCGAAGTCCCTGTTACTGTCCACAACTCGCATCTTGTCAATACCTTTCTCCACCAAGTGCCCCGCATGTTGGCCTCGGGTGTCCTGAAACCTCCCAGCTCTGTTGACGAGATTGAGAATAACCCCGTTGTCAAGAACGATAGTCTGGCACCATCCTTCGATTCACTGTCAATCTCTATTGACCCTTACCTCTCTCAAACCTGCGACAACCTTCTTGACAGTATCGAGACCCACCATGTCGAAGCCAACAACTTCTCTTACTATTCCCGCGCTCTGGCCCGCGAGCAGGCTAAGATCCAGCAGTGGCAGCAGAAGCGTAAGGCAGAGAATGCGGCGAGGGCACTATCGAAGCAGCCACCGCTGCCAGAGGATGAGTGGCAGAAATTGTTCAAGTTGCCTACCGAGCCGAGCCGCTTGGAAAGCATGTTGAATAGTCGGCAGGTTGAGCAGTACGCCAGACAGGTCGATGGCTTTGTTGCAGGTACCACAGGCAAGATGTTTGCTGTCAGAGGAAATCTGTTGCCGGGCGACGGTACCGAGAACAGCTCACCGCGGAACGAATAAATGGAGTGGTGGGCGTGATGCCATCCATATGAACGTCGCACAACCCAGCTCTTCGTGATGGTAATGACTGACCACAGGCACGTGGTAACATGGAGAGGACAAAGGATAAGGCTGAGCTAAGAAATGATGTCGTTCAGGTCTCGAACTGATCAGAGGTCTTTGGACTAGGTCATGGACCGGACGAAATGAGACGGATTTGAGCACTGAACTCAACATGAAGTGATATGCTATGAGACCGGAACCGAGCACAGCCGGCACAGAGTGAAGATGAACCAAACAAAAATGAACAATGAAATGAGCATATGACACCATGGCCCGGATGTGACGCGGACTTTCTTGACTCTACCGCCTTCTGCTGATTCAACCATGCCACGCATTTATTTCGCAGCATGCCAGACTATGGGAGGAACGGTGGTATTATCAGGGGCGTTTTGGTGTCACAACCAGGCTCGAGATACTCGGGCGCCATTCTAGCTGGTTTGCTGGTGATCACAGAAAGGGCAAAAGTTAGTGCTTGTTAACCCAGCCATGCAGCTGGTTTCAGGAAGATGGAGGTTCTATCTGGCGTACGGTAGAAAGTGTTCAGCGTCAAGCCCTGCAGGCTCCATACGAGAGACGAGGAACAGAAGAGACAGCAGACAGCAATTCAATCGGCCGCGATGGTCACTTTGTACATTTTTGCTTCGAACCTCACAGTTTAGTCTGTAGGACACATGGTCTAGTTCTTTCCGGAGAGAAGTTCTCGCCATGAATCTTCCCTTGTGCCGCTGATATATTTAGTCGTATTAACAGCCCGTGGTGCGGATCCTTGCAGGTCTTCTATGTAGTGATGCCGTAGCGTCCATGATGTATAGATCTTCTACGGGAAATAGATCAAGAACGCAATCGCTGTGGTTGAGCCGGAAATGACTGGAGAGGATACCTTACGTATGATCGGATCGGCCCTTTTCGTCATCCACACAGGCGCAGAGTTTGCTTGCACCTCATGTCAGGACTTATACTCGATTGAACTTGTGCAGACAACTCGCGTCGTAAAACGTATGGATGTCGAAATAGAGAACTTGGGGAGCTATCAGTTGTTCTACTCCCATTTCTCCTTAGCTCGGCTTTCTCGGTCTGGAGGTACGGTACTACGCCTGGGCGGGATTGAGCAGCTTTTCGCCTGGGAGTTCGAGGGTGGCTACGTACGTACTTACTCTAGGTCGATTCGCACAGGGACCTGTCTACATATCTAGTCACTGGGGAATTACGCCCGGGTTTCGTATAAGAAGTAGCGAGAAAAGGGAAGGGCGAGAAAAGGAAAGGGCGAGAAAAGGAAAGGGCGAGAAAAGGAAAGGGCGAGAAAAGGAAAGGGCGAGAATCGACACGGCAAGACAGCAAGAGAGCCAGAGGAAACAGTGGCAGACAAGGGCGTCGGGTAGCTAAAGGTAAAGGCAGAAGAGATGCAGTCATCTCACAATACTCAGAGGTGCTGGTCAAGCAGGTTGTGTTTTGACAGAGAAAAGGTGAAAAGGATGGACATGTTCAAGAGAAGTAGCATAAACTCCCAATACATCAATATGAAACCACCACCAATATAAACGCCAAACATCATTCATTGCAGAAAGCAGAGAAACCTCGCCGCTTTGCATAACCCTGATGCACCTTGCCAGCAACAACCTGTTCGGTGCAGTTGTGCTAGTGCCGCTCAGGAAAAAAAGTCTTCTATTGACCCAGATGTATCAACAAAACAGAACCCCTCCCCATACATGTTGACAAACTCGGCGTAGGTCCAGGGAGAGCGTGCCGTAGTAAGGCCGAGGAAGCGGGTCGTGTCTTGTGCCATTCAACCTGTTTGTAGGCGCCATGTGATTGTTGAACCCCTCTCTAATTCAGTAGCTAAACCTTGATAGCAGGGCAGGCAGAATGTTTCTGCCTGTGTTCAAACCAGGCGACGAGGTGAAACCGTGTCGACTTCCAAGGTCCCAACCACTCTGGCCTAGTTCCAATTTCGAGCTTCTGCGCCCTGGTCGGCGTCTCGCGCTCTACGCTCGGCCTCGGAGCCCGAGTTCAGCAGTTGATTCTGGGTCTGCTTTTTCTGCGCTGATAATTGGGTGGAAAGTTTCCCACCCGTCTTGCTGGCCCTCGCGGCGCGCTCCTGGTGACTTCAGTCAGCTCAAGGTCCTCGCCAGGGTGATAGGCCAGCATCGAGGCGAAGGCCGCAGAACCACGCTTCTGGCCCTGGAGACACCTCTTAGCTGCGATACAGTAACACTCACCTCTGCTGCTCTGGCAGCAGCACTTCTGGCATCATCGGCGCTCGAGGCTCCATCTCCACCACCAAGAGGTCGACCAGGAGTGCTGCTTGTGATCTTCTGCGGGACGGGAGCTGTAGTTTGTTTTGACTGCGTACTCGCTCCAACCGTACGGCCAGGAGTGGAAAAGTTGTCAGGTTTGTTGGCTGATTTCGAGCACAGATTCCCCATCGCGAAGGTTCGCGGGACTACGGATAAGGCAAATATGGGGCCCGAGATGCAGATGCGGAGCTTTAGCGAGAGCAAAATAGGATGTCTAAACGACGAGGGGGAGGGGCTGGGGCAAGGAAATTAGAGCATAGACGGTGGAGGATGAGGGATGAGGGATGAGGGATGAAGAATGAACAGTTTGGTTCTGTTATTCAAGAAGCGATGGAAGAGAGGCGGTGCATGGTGTGTGGTGGGGGTTTTGACTTTGGACCTTTGTTTGCACAATGCGCCGTTCGGTTTCGGGAGGATTTGGGGGGGAACCAAGGGACCAAGGAACGCAGCTGGGCACGTACGCAAACCACCCAGTGCCCAGACACGCACACACTTTGTCAGAAGCGGATCCATGCTACGGTGTGCTAAACCTGATCTAGCTGCCGTGGTCGAGCACGTGCAAGGCTGCGACTACGGCGCCGCACACTGAAAATAATACGAAGCACCTAATTCCAACCTCACCAGAACCATCCAACTTCATCTATCAATCAACTAATTAACACCATTGCAGACAGCGTGACCAAGACATGCTTGCCTCCCTCACTGATGTGCCCGGATATTATCAAAACATCAAGTAAAACCCATTTTTCGCAGAATTTTCGCGCATTTTCAGGGGGCTAGGAAAGAAAAAATACGGCTCCACTTTCAATACGAGCCAGGCTCGGGAAATACGACGCGAATGAAGAACCATGAAAGAAAAATTACCATTTCAAGAGCGCACCGCACTCTTTCAGAGGCCCCATCTGAACCACAAGTATCTGAAATGGCGGTATGATCAGTAGCACCTCTGCTGCCAGCAACAAGTCTGGAACTCGACCAATGAAGACCCAGGTCACCCACCATGTCCTTGCTCGCTCTGTTCTGTGTCGTGGTCGACGTGGCTTGAGCCGGGCCTCGGTGATGGGCACTTCTCAGGCTGCGACGCGTCTTGCTCTGAATGAACGCGTTTTGGCTTGCCAAAGCAGACCTCGCCCTATGCGTCTTGCCCCATCACAAGGTCTGGGTCAACATCTCGACAGTGGCCGCAAAACGACCTTGTTGCCCACAATCCCTTGACAATGGCTGGAGCTTGGGCATTTGAGGAGTGAGCTCCACAATCTATCACGCGTCGCGCTGAATATTTCTCATTGCCCTATGCTGCTTCCGTCCTGCTGAACCAAAGAAATACAGAAAAGTTTAAATGCACGCTGTCGACCCCTCGCCGGCTAATTGAGCAGGTAAGTGTCCATGCGTCGAGTGCTTGGAAGACAACCAGAGAGTAGCCAGATGCTTGTTTTGATATTTGAATGGACAATGTTACTCTGGCTTCCCGACCTGAGCCACTTTCGGCCACTGTTACATCCATCCACGTTTCCTTCACATGAGTTCCTTTCATACCGCTCAGTCGAGAGTGGTAAAATCAAAACACAGTCCATCCATCGCTCCACCACTCGTCCCTTCTGCTGTTTTCTCTCTCTCTCTCTCTCTCTCTCTCTCTCTCGTTCTGGTCAAAACTTTATTGGAACCCGACAATGTCTGGTCTTTTACAGCATCTTTGAGTTCGAGACAGAGGAACCGCCTGGCTCGACAAAATGTTGTTCATTTGGTTGCACTTGCCCCCTAGTACAAATACCGCGCTGTTTTCCTTGTCCTATGTCCCCCCTTTTCCCAGAACCCATACAGCACTTCGCCACAGCCCGAACCTCTGAGAATATCAGATTCGAAAGCCACATTCAATCTGACACTGAACTCCAACCTCAATCACCCTGCACTCTCCGTTGTCTTGAAGACAACGACCTCCCACACAACAAAGGTACACTTTGAGTCTGGTCTCTTCCTCCCTGCTACTGGAATGCTGACTATTGCTGAAGCGCCTACAATATACCAGGCGTCCTCACCAACACCTCGGACTTCCCACCACAGACCTCTACACGTTCAACCGCTAGAGCAGTCAAGATGTCCGGCAAGTACAGCTGCACAGAGTGTGACAAGAGCTTCACAGCCAGAAGCACTCTCAATGGCCATCTGGCGAGCGTTCATCTCGGAGAGCGCTCGGTCTGTGATGCCTGTCAAAAGGTCTTCACAGACAAGTCCAACTTCCGCAGGCACAGAAAGACCTGCTCCGGCAACGCCGGCCTTTACAGGTGCGCATGGCACCAGCTCGGTTGCAACCACACCAGCAACCGTGTCGACAATGTGAAGCGGCACGTCAGATCGTGCCCTCACAAGCCCATTGCTTGGGCAGGCGAGTTCCCAGCACCCATCAGGGCTGGACTCGTTCAGAGTGGCCAGGTCCCAGACAACGGGACGCCACAGACCTCCGGGCAGCAGCAACTGCCCCAAGACGCCTCCGCCCTGGCTCAAGGGCCTGCTGTCACGCCCACGATGGGCGTGGATGCCTCCCAGCAAGGCATCGACTTGGCACTGGGCGATCCCACCGATCCGGTGTGGTTCGCCGCCAATTTCCCGCAATTCGACGGGTACTGGGGACAAGACGTACCCCAACAGGCACCGGGTGCAGGGCCTCAATACCCAGCGGCCCTGCCGGCCACTGGCGGCTTCCAACAGGGCATTGGCACTGGGTGGAACGCCGTCGACAACGGCCTGTTCACAGGTTATGGGACTGGCGGAGATACCTTCTTGACAAACGCTCCCGCACTAGCCAGTGATTTCACTGGATTCTTCTAGTTGCATTGGCGACAAACGGTTCCTGAGGCGCCCAGGATACTCGACGTTGCAGGTCAGGATAGCATCCGAGCCACCGAACTTGGCCAGGGCGGCTTTCGAACACATCAAGCACCGGCAGCAGACCAGAACAGCTTGCAGCAGATGGTGATTTTGGAGGCAACCAACCAGTTCTCTTCGACCGGCTGTTTGTCACCACAGCCTGACACACCTCCTCGACATCAACCTCCTCGACATCAACCTCCTCGACATCAACCTCCTCGACATCAACCTCCTCGACATCAACCTCCTCGACATCAACCTC